GCGGCGGTCGCTCGGTCGGTATACTTCGCTTGCGGACTACAACCATGGAGTTTTTTTAATCATGTGTTTAAAATAGGTATCAGGACGACGACCCAACATTCAGAAAAGTACCAGGGCGACACCCCGTCTCAACTTCAAACTCGTTAATGTCGAAATTCTGTATCTTTAACACTATATTCATTCTATGAAAGCAGAGAACAAAAAACATATGGTAATCTCACAGAGTCCAGTTCCTTACGTCGTAAAAACCGCGTTCTGTTTCAAAGAATGAGAACGGACTTTCCGGAAGGAAATTTCGCCCCTTCTTCACCTGCTTCACTCTAGTTTTTGCTTCGCTTATTCTTCGACTCTGAAGATGAGCGCGACATGTTCCTCCGAAACTTCTTTCAACTTTCAATGGACTATATGATGTTATATCTCAGGAGATAGAACTCTTAATGGTTTTACCAGTTTCCTTATAATTATATAAGGTAACATAAAGTTGTCCCTGGCCGGTCACGGTAGTCGAGCGGTTTAAGGCATGTACTGTCTTTGCTCGCTTGGAAACCGGGATCGTGGGTTCGAATCCCACTCAGAGCATGGATGTTTAGTTTGTGTGTGTGCGTTTTTCTGTGTTTGTGTACAGGTAGAGGCCTTGCGACGAGCTGATCACCCGCCCAAGGAGTCCTACCGAATGTGTAAGATCTAGAAAAACCAAAGTGAACGGAGAAGTTGATGGAGGTAGGCCTAAGTCCACTGGGGCTGTAGTGCCAAGGAAAAAAAAAAAGTTGTCCCTGTGCTTAACTAATTAATCACTACGCCATTAAGGCGTATGGGGATTGGATGTATAGATCCACATTTTCTTGACCTCGGCACTAGCTGGAAGCGAGTGGTCAGCTTCACGCACCGTCCGCTTTACCCTCAGGAAAATAGCCCCCAGAGCCCATTGGATAGGAGGTTGGGTGAACCCCGGAGCCGGTCTGGAAGATTTAGAGAAGAGAAAATTCTTGACCCTACCGGGACTCGAACTCCGACCCCTCAGTCGTCCAGCCAGTAGCTGGATTTTTTTAACTTTGCAGCATGTTACTGTGGCCTTCTGGATTGTGCCACCGTATATTCTGGAAGGTGGATAACAGTGTTTCACAGGATCATGCTGCGTCCGATTTTAGGGTGGAAAATTGAATCTAAAATAGTGACGTCTCTTTTATGTTACACATTTCAGTATGTTAAATGTTTAGATCCGTTCATAAACACTCAGATCGTGGGTTTTAACCCCATTCGACAAATGACTCCTCTTTGCTTCTGTGTTTACGCTGTCCTGTGTAGTCAGAGGCCTTGTGATGGGCTGATCCCACAAAATGTCTAAAAAGAATTAAGAATTTACAAAGTTAATTCTGAATGTCAACAGGTAATGAGGCCTAATCCGAAAAGGCTGAAGAATTACCCTTCGACTAGATTGTCATATCATCACTATACAAATATTTCAGGGAGAAAGTTAATATGAGACTCAGAAACTGAAATTTGTTCACCCCTTGTATATGTTATGTTAGTATTTAACGGGAGGCAAGCAGACCAGACCAATGGAAAAGCCCAGCAGGGATTCTAAAGCAAGCGTTTTGACAGTTCTATAACCAACAAGCCTTGACTGCGTAAACTACGACAAGAGAGAGAGAGAGGAAGGAAAAGCACGGGAGAGAAAGAGAGAGAGAGAAAAGAATGAAGATCTGTGATTGCGTTAAGTGCATTATCAGAAGTGTAACGCATATGACAGCTTTCAAATTACGCTTTTTATAAATTCATTGTAAACGTAAATTTCAAACAGTCGAACTCTGTTGTACAGCCTCACCCTCTAGCATGTGGAAGTTATTTCGCTAACCAAGAAATTCGTTGTTGTGTATTTATGCTGTCAATCTATATATCTATGGCTCTACAGCCCTTGTAAACCTTGGCCGCTTTTTCAGTTTCTTAATCTATACACAGTCGGTAGGAGTCCTTGGACGAGGGATCAGCCCGTCGCAAGGCCGCTACCTACACACAGAACAACACAAATACAGAACAAACGTATACAGGCATCCATGCCCCGAGTAGGATTCGAACTCATGATTCCAGTGTTTGAGTAGGCGAAGGCGGTTCATACCTTACACCGCGTGGTCATTGTCAAAGAATTTGTTATGATTTGTTTCCTTTAGAACTTCATAAGTTGGTAACATGTATTGAATCAAGTTTGCATTGATGTATTGTTTAATCAAAGCTAAAGTATCATCTATGGCCATAACAACGAAATACTGACTTCTTTTTGCCAGATCTAGTCAATCCAGTGACATTTTTCTCTCTCTTTAAGAACTGCTTATAAGCTGCATCACAGTTTTAAGCATCAAATTTAGGAAAAAAAAATCATACAAATACATTATTTGAAATAATCTTCTTACTCATATTTTATGAGGATGTGTCTCCAGGTGTTAATAGTTGTCACTTCAGTTACATCTGTTGTTTTTTTTTAACTTCTGAATGGATTTTTTTTCTGTGGCTCTACAGCCCCAATTTGGGCCTAGGCCTACCTCATGAAACTCTCCGTTTCACTTCGGTTTACAAGATCTTGCACATTCGGTAGGACTCCTTGGGCGAGTGATCAGCTCGTCGCAAGGGCTCTACCTGTACACAAACGCAGAAAAACGCACACATACATCCATGCCCTGAGTGGGATTCGAACCCACGATCCCGGCTTCCGAGCGAGCGAAGACAGTGCATGCCTCTGAATGGCTTAGCCTCTTCTAAAGCAAAGTTGGAAAACAATGGTGACAAAGCACCTCCTTATTTTAGACCATTTTGAACGGGAATTTTATTAGACAAATATTTTACCTATATAGACTTAATAGATTTAAACACATTATAACAACCGTGACTAGTTTCATTGGTATACCAAACTCAAGGAGAATACTGTACAGTGCTTCTCTCCTGACTGCATCATAAGCTTTGGAGAAGTCTATGAATAGCTCATGTACTGCTTCATCATACTTCCATTTTCTCCAGTATTTGATGAACCCAAAAAATATAATCAGTATTGTATTTATGTCAAAACTCATGGTCCATATTTACATTTAATGATTTCAGATTCTTAAACTCAAACACACTCTCTTTTTTTGATGTGCAAAATATAAGGGCTATTTAAAGAAAATTATGTTCTTGCAACAAAACAACTGTCTTTGGAATTTCATGTACATAAAATTGTAGTACACTACTCAAACAAGTTACCTCAAAATAAATAATAATGAAAATACCGGAATAGCTCAGTCGGTATAGCGACTGGCTACGGGCTCGACGGGTTGGAGTTCGAGTACCGGTAGGGCCAAGAATTTTCACTTCTCCATGTCGTCCATACTGGCTCTGGGCTCCACCCAACATCCTATCCAACTGGTACCGTGGGCTCTTTCCCAAGGGGTAAACCGGCCGGGGCGTGAAACTGACCATTCACCTTCAACTAGTGCCGAGGTAAAGAAAACGTGGGTCTATACATTCACTCCCCCCATACGTCTTCATGGCATAGTACTTAATTAGTTAAGCACAGGGGTAACTCCCCCCCCCCCTTGGCACTACAGCCCCAGTGGGCCTAGGCCTACCTCCATCAACTTCTCCGTTCACTTCGGTTTTACTAGATCTTACACATTCGGTAGGACTCCTTGGGCGGGTGATCAGCTCGTCGCAAGGCCTCTACCTGTACACAAACACAGAAAAACGCACACACACAAACTAAACATCCATGCCCTGAGTGGGATTCGAACCCACGATCCCGGTTTCCAAGCGAGCGAAGACAGTACATGCCTCAGACCGCTCGGCTACCGTGACCGGCGGAATAACTTTACCTTACCTTTATATAATCGATACGTGTCCGTAGGGTGTACATTATTATGTTGGCACCTCAAAATAAATATTTACGGATGCAGATGTTGGTACACCAGGATCCGCAGCTCGTGGACACCTCAACAGTAATCACACAAACCCTCTGCCATCTAGCGGGAAAAGTATTAACCCGGTACGTTCGAATCGTTCGAATTTCCCGCCCGCGCATGAATCCCTAAGTCTGTTGGACTTTTTTCCCCCTTATTTATTTGGCATTCATAATTGCTACAAATGTAACACATCATTAAATACATCATTCTTGAAATCCTTTTGCTAAAGGATTCGAATTGTCGACAACATGTAATCACGCTTTACATGGTTAATCTACAATTAAAATATAACACACACTAATGAAACATAAATAATCAAATGAGGTACAATACGTAAATCGAAATGCATGCCAACCTTATGAGTTCATCAAGAGAATTTTAAGAGTATTACAATAAATCAAGAGTCCTACACATGGCCATGTCGACAGGCACAGCAATTTAAATACTGCAAGCAACCATTTGTTGTTTCCATTGCTGAATAGAGGCTTTGCTATGCTTACTACTGTCCCACTAAGAGGAACTCATACAGTGTATAGAATGGATATAGTACAAATAATTTTAGCCCATGTTTAAACTCTTTAGATCCATCTAATTTTCCTAATTCCAAATTCAGTCTCTTATACCCATACTGATAACAGTTTCTTAAAAGTTCAGAATAGAATGATGTTGACATAATGGTACACGACAGGCACAGCAGGCACTGGTGATGATACCCTGATTTTTACTAAGCACAGCTAAATTTCATATTGGAACTCTGGTATATATTTTGGCTACAGAGAATTCCCAATGCCCATTATTGGGCGGCAGATTTTCAGCATAACAAATATGGCTGGCACTATTCAAATTTGTTTTCATTCAGAAAACTTCAATTATACTTAAATTGCACGATTGGAACAAACGCCTACAATCACACAAAATACTTGTACCTTCAAGAAGGAAATAATTCCTGCATAGCATTCTGTGTAGGTTGCAGCGCAATTAATTTGTCTAATAATGTACTCACATTTCTAATATGGTTGCATGCCATGGACCATTAGTGCATCCCAATATCATTTACGAAAGGAAAGTTGTATATACTCATCCACAGAATATTTTAAGTTTTAATACCTGTCTTCTTGCCTTAGATACAAATTTCTGAGCAATGACACTATCTTCAAATCAGACATGTTACCATCAGTACAGTGGTGTGCCTTCATTTCTGAAAATTTATTGTATTACATTTTATGGTTGTTATTATTATACATAAAGCAATCATTCACCATCGTATAGTTCATCTTCATTTTCACTGTTATCTTCCATGTCTAGTTCTTCCTTGTACATTTCACGAAACACTTCAAGTTCTTCAAGTGTGAGGTCAGGGGCAACTTCTGAAATAAACATCTCATCACTAGTGTCTGTGATATGACTAAGACTTGGATTCTTGCTCCAGGGTTGCTGTCTTTGCTCCACTTTGGTTCCCTTGACCTTTCCTGGTGTCACATAAATACCAGCCCTGTACAAAACATAGATTACAAAATAAATACTGAAAATGTTTTTTTTCCATATAGGTAGAGAAATTTGTTAGCATAAACTTGTTAGGGAAATGGGGAGCAGAATTATAACAGAATTATCAGTGACATATGGCCATTCTTGAGTTCAGTAAAATTTTGTATGCTTGCTGGATGTGATATGAGATAAATATGGAAGTAAACCTTCCCACTTCAAGTGTACAGGTATTTAGAACACATTTCACAACTACTTAAGTACCTCTGGAAACTTTTATGTTAGGACATAAATGAGAATAGGTGATGTGGTCACGTGATACACTGCATGGTCGAAACTGTTTCAGATCTGTAAGGACATTTTAGAACATTCATAGAAATGAAGTCTGGTGGCGTTAAAATGAGAGTTTGCCGTGCAGTGAATGATTGTACTAAAGTGACATAACATTACACTTCTCAGAGGGGCTCAAAACTGACTGAAGTTCAGCGACATGCCATTCCATTCCTCAGTTGGGTCCAAAACTGAATTAAGTGACATGCTATCCTATTTCCCAGGAGGACCCAAAACTGACAGGCAGGCCAAAATCTGACTGAAGTAAAATTATACACTTTCCTATTTCTCATGTGGGCCCAAAAGCAACCAGAGAGGTTGCACTTCACACCCTGAAAACATATAGGGCAGTAAGGGCATAGCTCCATGCATCCATAACCTTGGCACTACATGGAGAGTGGTCAGCTGCATGTCCTGGCTACTTCAAGCCTCAGAAAAAATAGACCATATACGAGGGGGTACCCAAAAGAAACCGAACTTATTTTTTTTTTAACTTATTTATTCAAATTTTAAGCACAGACCTTCAATCCCCTTCAAAGTACTCTCCACTTACACTAATACACTTGTCTAGTCTTTTATTCTATTTTTCAAAACATTGTCTAGATTCATCTTTTGAGATGCTTGACAGCGCCTACGTCGTTTTTTTCCTCCACCTCAGCAACATCAGCAAAACGCTGAAAAAAAGTTTTGATCATTTCGGGACTCTTCTTTCAAAGCACAGCATGCTTCCACGCGACCTTGTTTTTGTTCAGCAGTCAGCAGTCGTGGCACGAATTTCGCAGCCACCCTTTTCATTCCCAAATCTTCTGTCAAAATTCGCTGAACTGAGCTCCAAGTCACTCCCGACAGCTCCATAATTTCTTCAATGGTCCCTCGTCGATCTTCCTTGATGATTTCACGAATTTTTTCAACATTTTCATGTGTTCGGGCCATTGCAAAAACAACGATCACACAGAACAGTTGTCCCTATAAACGCTGCCGAAACTAGTCCTTACCTTCTGAAGCAACGGTAGTCGGCTTATCGACTCAGGAATGTTAGCTCTATGCACTCATAGCGGCAAAACGCAGTACTACAAAAGCTCTGCCCACAAAAAGATTCGTTCGGTTTCTTTTGGGTACCCCATCGTATACTCATCGGTTATAAGGCTGGTTTGGTCTCAGAGCTGATATGGAAGGTGTGGAGAGCAGATAAATATTTTGCCCATTCCAGAAATTGAACCCCGACTGTTTGGTCACCCATTCTGTAGCTTAGTCTCTGTACCAACTGAGATATCCTGACTCCAAGGCACTGAATGGTAGCACACATAAATGGAAAAGGTCAAGGCATTACTCTAATGTTCTGAGATGCAGATGGTTGCTATTTATCAGCATCCTGCTACATGGAAAAGTAACCAGTGTGCGCCTTACTATGACCACATGCTAGAAACATAAAGGCTATTTATAAGAAACTTCCAAAACCAACCAAGCAAACTTTGTACTTCCAGACCGTAAAAAATAATATGTATAATATAAACTCCGTCATAAATGTAACACTTTATTGTAGTTCTTGTCCCCCCTCTTTTACACTACATGTTTGTTGTGTTGTGACGGTCAATAAAGAGTTGAACATTACAATTGATATAGTACCTTACATAACCCATAACACTGTACAATAAAACAACTTTTCATCTGCTGTTAAGAAAATGAGTGATTCTAATAAATTTGAATTTGTTGAATTTCAATTTCAGCTTGAATACTGAGTATCACCGACCACTTTCAAAGAAAAGCATAAAAATTTAACACACAGCAAGGCATGAGATAGATGGCCGGCTATGAAGTGCCAGTTTTGACCAATCACAGCACAACATGTTGACCTCCTGACAATTGTTGAGTGACCTATTAACCAACAGCTGCATTCTTACCACTCTCATAGCCAATGATTTATCAGTTGTTAAGACATTTTCATATTTTTAAAATAACTAATGTAGTTCTGCAAAATGAACTATGGATGAAAGAAAATTTTCAGTAAAATTTTCATAATCTGTGCATAATGTACTGAAATACATCAACTGTTACATCAACAAGAATATCAGTATTAAAGTAATCAATCAACTGCCATGTTTTCCATGGCACAGACTTCATTCCCATAGTTCATTCTTTCAGCATTTTTTAGTCTATAGGCTATTAGCAGTACTGCATTAACTGCAGAGGTTATTCGGTATGAAATACAATGACAATGATTATACACAATGAATTACAAAGGACAGGAGAGCAAGTGGTTCTTAAGGTAGTATCAGAAATCTGTTGAAAAAGACGCTGAGAAACTATGAAAATTTCTCATGGTATATGGTCTCTAGCCACAATTCAAACCAGGTCCTTCCAAAATGCATGTCAGATGCTTTACTGTTTTCAACGTAAAAAATGCTCTAGTATCTACATAACATAATGACTGTACATGATACAAACCTTTGTAAAAATATGTGCCTAGTCTGAATTTCGTCCAAACTACGATTGAACATATAACACTTAGTTAAGTTTTCCTTTTTTGTGTCAATTTTCATAACTTTTTCTACATAATCCAACTTTGCTTCCACATCTTTCCAGTTTGCAAAGAGAACACCAGGGCAGTTTTGTAGCAATTTTACAACATTTTTTCCGCGTGACTTCCCTAATGATAATAACAGTGGTATTCTGCGTGACAGTTCATTTCCAGTAACAGACAGAAAGTGAGGGCAAGCTGCCAGTAGATCCAACACATTGTCATATCCAAGTTGACAATTCATCCACTGTGCCATAGACAAATTTAATTCATTATTTTCCAGCAGTGTAAATAAATATGGATATGCAGCCACCATACTTAAGCAGTGTCTTTGTGTAAATCCGTACAATTTTAATTCCTTGAAACAGTTCTCCCATTGCAATGGTGATCTATTCAATAACTCTGGTGATATATCTAAAGCATTTATTACATCACTAGGTGTAACGCCTTCCTTCACAGTCATTTCTAGTAATGATACTACTCTGGGGTCTTCGAGCCTGTGGATAGTATCCTGCTCTGATGAGTTGCTAACAGCTGTACAGTAATATCTGTGTGATTCTCTTCCCATCATTGAGCTATATCCCAAAATTCTGTCCTTCCATTTTGTGGCATTTGTTCCATTTTGACATGAACAGGTCCTTCTCCATACCAGCAATACAAGTGATGCTCTCCTTAGGCTGTGCATATTTTATCTGGAAAATAACAAATAATTATATTCCTGTTATTGCATTAGCAAGTGTTAATTAGAGTCAGTGAGCAAAGGAATATCCTACATGAAATAAGAAAATGGAAGGCTAATTGGATTGGTCATATCTTGCACAGTAACTGCCTTCTAAAAGAAGTTATTGAAGGATAGATAGAGGGGAGGATAGAAGTGACCAGAAGATGTAAGAAGATGCTGGATGACCTTGGGGACAGAAGAGGATATTCTCATTTGAAGGAGAAAGCTCTAGATCACATTAAGTGGAGGAACTGTTTTGGAAGAGACTGTGGACCTGTCATCTGACAGATTACTGATGAATGAATGAATTGCATTAGCACCACGAAGCCTTCAATGAGGAAAAGACTCACCATCACCATAAGGTAGTGGCCTTGAGACAGGCTGATCGCAACTGTGTATAGGATTAAGAAACTGAAAAAGTGGCCAAGGTCTAGAAAAAAGGACTGGAGGGAGAGAGAGCTACCAGGACCATATCTTAATCAAGCTTCACCCTTCACAAGTATATTTCTCTTAGATCATTTTTGCCTACTTTCCTTATATGAACAAAATAAAATGATGTAATGTTGTATTTCACATTGCAGATATACACTGAGAGTAAGAGGCAATGACTCCCATAGTGGTGGAACTATGCGCGGTGTTAGAATTGGGACAGATAAAATAAATAATCTTAACAAGTTTTTAGTATATAAATATTTATTATAACTGTTGAACATTTTTAAATAGTTTTTAAATTTTACAATGACATAATGGCAAGCAATGAAATAGATTAACATAAATGGAGCACCTGATGATGGCACTATAGTGAAGAAACATGTTGTGAAATAACAAGCGAAACTGAGTGCACTAAAAGACGGACACTGCATACATATCATGGACGAAAATAAAATGAGCTTCAAGAGATCACCTTTCCATCTGAATGTCTGTGTATCCCCTGCTAACTCCAGAACACCAGAATAGTGGAGCCAAAAGAGACAACCATTACAGTACCATGTAAATGTGTGACATGACACCAATAAGCTGGAACAGTGCAGCAAGCAGACCTCAAGTTGAAACATGTGGATGGACATATACACATCTGCAGTCATGGATGCGCATTGTGTAAAGAATGCATAATAATAAGTTAAAGAAATATTTTCTTGCAAGTTCTTGCTCAACACTCATTCATACACAAACCACAGTCACGGGAAAGGAAGTGAAAGGGTTAATAATAGTTCCATTATCTTTGCCATTTGACATTAATTTCATCACAATCTATTTTCTTTCCTTCTCTAAGTCTTAAACACAATCATAAGCATCAGTATATGACAGTTTATAATGCGCTGTTCTGTATACAATATTTCAGAATTCTAAAGCAAAAATTTCTGGTGACAATTAAATAGGTCAGTTGGTATAGCAACGGCCTACAGTCTGGAAGGCCTGGATTCGATTCTTGACGCGCAAGAGATTTTTCTCTTCTCCACAGCATCCAGACTAGCTCTGGGGCCCAACCAGCCTCCTATCTAACAGGTACGAAGGGCTCTTTATTGGGTGGGGTTAAAGTGGCTGGGTTGTGAGGCTGACCACTCACCTCCAACTAGTGCTGAAGTCAAGAATGATGGAACTAAAACTCATCTCTCCCACACAACTTCATGGTGTGGTATTTAATTAATTAAGCACAAGGCAACTTTTACCTTTACCTTATACTTAAATGTTAGAAACATGTTCTGTAGCCACACAGCTTAAAACATACCACTTCTTACATGCAAAACAATTCCTGTGAAGAGGGATGTTATTAATATAGTATTTAAAGCAACACATGAGAAAAATGTGATTACCTTAATTTACAGCAGTATAATAAAACTGAACATGCTCACAGGACGCTTTTACAGGCTAAACAAAAAATATTTTTGTTTGTTACTTTGTTACAGTACTTTTTCAGGAAATGAAAGTGAAGTGTTGAGGCCTTGTAGCACAGGCCCATAACATCAGGGTTAAACTAGTCAGAGTTTGCAAAGATACAAGGAAAATTTCTCTCAAGACTGAGGAAAGGTTTTCAACAAAAATTTGTCAGAATTACCGGGTTCTTGGACTTTGTCCACTGTCCAATATTACAGAAACTAGAGAACACATTTCAGAAACTGGATCTCTTTCCATCATCAGGTGACAGCAGTAAGAAACCTACTCTGCTGGGTCCCTTAGAAAGAGCTAACCTTGTTTATCTAGTTTCTAGAATAGGAGATGTTGGACAAAGTCCAAAAACCCAGTAATTCTGAGTATTATACACCATCACCCTCTAGAATCTACAACAAAATATATTTATTAATTATGAAAATAACCGGTGGCTGCATGTAGCCACAAATAATAATCATTGCATGATATAATCCCAGTCAGTTAATGATGATCCCAATGCTGAGTCAAACAGATCACTGGTAACAAAAAAAACTAATATTTTGGTAATTCTCGGTTCTCATTTAATGGTGATATTCAACATTTCTTCCTGGCATAATCAAACATGGTAACATAAATATACCATCATCACTTTTCTTTTCAGTTCATCATACACAATCTCTAATCCATACCAAGTTACCTAACCTTGAGCGGTGTCTTCGCGCCCGACAATATTATTCTCTAGTGCTACACCAACCTGCTTGGTCCCTAGTGAATATGTCTTTAAATCATTTATCGTTAATTATAAGGATAATATGAATAATGGAAAAATAGTCACTTCGGTATGTGAAACACAAAATGAACATACTATATGCAGTCTTGTACTATGGGCACCTCTGTACGTAAACACGGACCCTCATAGGCTGTAACCATTTTCCAACTAAATTTTGAACTTTAAAAATGAATTCCCTGCTTACCACTCCTTATTTAACTTATTTAGTTGATCTGAGATATCTCCAATGTCTGCAGACATCTACCACTTACTTTAATGACCAACTAAACAGTGGCCCTAACGCCCTACACTGCCCTACACATAACCTGGCAACCCATATGTAAACGTTCGCTTGTAGTTTAGCGGGCGGTGACAGGGAAGAGTGTTTTCCATTTCGCGTTGAGCCATTTAACAATGTGCCGACAACTGCCCTGGGTTCTGCGAAGCTGATCGAGTTCTTGTATTAACGTGTTGATCTTTCATCAAAAATCAGATCATCAGCACTCGTCATAAGTTGGTTTGTCTGTTTTATTTTGCAATGGAAAGAGATTGTAGAACGGTCTGGTGTGGCAATCTGTCGGAGAAAGTTACAGAACCGTTGTTGTACGAGCTGTTTCTTCAGGTACGTTGAATTTCATGATAGTTTGCAGTAATCGTAAATATTGCGATTGCATATTATTAAAATGGAAAATATTGATTAAGCTTTTGTTTTCATTTTTCTAGGCTGGTCCACTGGAAAACGTACGAATACCGAAGGACAGGGATGGAAGACAACGCAACTTTGGCTTCGTTACTTTCAGACATGAGTGTTCAGTGCCCTATTCTGTAGCATTATTTGAAGGAACAGATTTGTTCAACAAGATTTTAATTTTGCAATCAAAAAATGGTACAAACAGTGATGCTCCCCAGAGGGAGGTTGACTTGAATAATTCTTATGCATATGAAAGACAACGTACCCAGTCTGTTCCAATCAATTTTGGAAGTACTTCAGCTGCACCTGCAGGACCAGATTACAATATGTTATTCCATCTCGGACAGCAGATGTTAATTCCAGGGTCTTTGGGTTCAGTGCCGTTCCAGCTGAATCACTATAATTTTACTTCAGACAACAGTCCACCTGTGTATAGAAGTCAGATGAACAGTTCATACTATTTAGGTGGAAATCTTGAAAAAGTGTCCAGAACTAGCTATAACCGTGGGCGCAACAGAAATCACCCTTATGCTCATGGTGGTGGGTCTAGAGGTTATGAAGACAGTCACAGAAGTAAGTCAGATGCTAGCAAATTGCGTGATCACCATCGTGACCATCATGACAGTGAACGTCAGGCGAGTGGCAGAAGACGACGCCGCTAAGGAAAGCATGCATTTCAGAACGTCAAAAGAAATTATAATTAAACTACACTGAAAATAATATGCAAAGCATAGGTACATATTTGAATTGGGGTTTACAAAATATTGTTGATGAAATATTCCAGTTTTATAACTCACTCATTCACCTCCATATTTAACGCAACTGAAAACTGTTCACGGTCCCTCTTTAATTTCAAATAACATTAAAAACACATGAATTGCTAAATGTTTCGGCCTTACTTGGCCATCTTCAGGCAATGGTTCACTTTTTAGAAACCATCACACTACACTAGCTCCTAAGTCAATATATTTCCATGCTGTTGCATGTCATTCACACTAAAAAGTGTTTGTTTGAGAATAAAACTCTCAATTTGGGGTTACTTTCCTTTTGCGGTGTCCATGTTTGTGCTCCTTCGTGTGTAGTGTTGTTATGTATGCTGTACTGGCTTGTAGGTTTTTCCATTCTGTTAGACTAGTTATGTTGTCAAGTGGTTCATGTGTGTGTGTAGTATCTGCACTGATAATAACACTACATCGACATTCTTATGAACTGCACAAATAATACACATAATTCCCACACTGAAAATGGAATGCAGTGAAACTAAATCCAGCAACAAGAAGCACTCTCAAGCAAATATCTTTTAAATGAATGGATGATGATCACAATGAAAATAACATTAAGATATTAATTTTAATTCCAAGTTTAATTAATTTTAATTAGGAAATATGGTGTTACCCATTATACATAACTTTGACATACATTGCAACAGTGTTAGCAAGACAACACTCGCTGATGACAGTATATGGCCAAAACATGTACTGAGGAAGAAGGGTTACTAGATAATAGTTTTGCATTTAAGAGGAAATATGTATGTACAAAAGATATATTAATGCAACAGGATTCTGAAATACAATAAAACAGAACATAATGTGGCGCAAACCATGTAGCTGTTTGTAAATCACAGTTGCAGACTATGAGTCTTGTCAGTTTTTTTTTAAAATAGCAACAGGGAAATACAATCTTATGTATTCAGGAGTATGCATGTGAAGAAACTATTATGGCTAGCGATACTGTCCTCAATTTAAACATACTGATGTGGATATTTTTTCATAATTCTAAGATTCTGCAGTATGTTTTTGATATCTTGTCATGGATGATTGTATGGTTTCAGTTTTTGGAGTTCCACATAGGTCATGTAGGAGTCAAACTTTCAGTAATAAATTGATTCTTCAGCTGCTCTAATTGCAATTGCTTACCATGTATTTGAGGAGCTGGAATAGCACAGTTGGTAGAGTGACTGGCTATGGGCTGGACGGCTGAGGGGTCAGAGTTCTAGTCCTGGTAGGGTTAAGAATTTTCTCTTCTCCACATCTTCCAGACTGGCTCTGGGGCCCACCCAGCCTCCTGTTCAATGGGTATCAGGGGCTCTTTCCCTGGCAGTAAAGCAGCCGGGGTGTGAAGCTGACGAGTCACATCCAACTAGTGCCGAGGTCAAGAAAATGTGGATCTATACATCCACTCCTCAGTATGTCTTCATGGTGTAGCGCTTAATTAGTTAAGCACAGGGACAACTATGCGTTTTAGTTTTATTGTGTATTTGCTTATATAATCTTTTTGCCTTAATTAAGTATGAATTTTTTCCTGTGGTGCAGTTCCATATTGACTTCTCTCTGTATGTTATGTTCTGTGACTGGGATGTCATGTATTTTGTTTGTGTGAAGAGGCAGCATATTTGCTATAGTGACTGGCTATGGGCTGGATGACTGAGGGATCAGATTTTGAGTCCTGGTACGGTCAAGAATTTTGTCTTCTCCACATTGTCTGCGCCAGCTCTGGGTGCATATCGAGGGCTCTTTCTCCAGTAAAGTGTAAAGGGTAAAGTGGCCGGGATGTGAAGCTGACCCCTCACCTCCAGCTGGTGCCGAAGGCCCGAAAATATGGATTTATACATCCACTCCCCTATATGCCTTCATGGGGTACTGCTTAATTAGTTAAGCACATGGAAGGTAAAGAGTAAATTGAAGATACTGGGGTCCACATTTTATGGATATATACTAGATAGTCCAACAGTCCAAGAGATTTTATGTTATTTATTAAAATCTTAAATTGTGACAACAGAAAATCTACATTTGGCAGAGATTTCCAGGCATTATAGTCAATTCTATGTTTATGTTCTACAGGTGGATCTTGAAATTTACATTTGAGATCTAACATGTCAGAGAGATTTGTTTTGGATAAAAAAACGTATGTCCTCAATGTTCATCATGTAAAATTTCGGTAATCAATGTTGCAGAGTTTAAACAATAAATATTTAGCTGTGAGATTTTATTATTTTCCAATTTATTATTATGTGAAATTATAAAATAGATTTTTCCTTGTTTGTAGCAATGATAGAAAGTGAACATACTATACACAGAACTGGGCATATTGCATCTGTGGTTATTATTTCTGTATTCATTATAAGTCACTGCAATTCAAGTAAATATTTATTATCTTTAGAAAAGCCCATTCTAAGCACAGCATACTTATAGTTTTACATGCATTACTTTATCTTTAGAACTTAACTTGTCTTAACTGATTTGTAATTTTAACATGATACTTCCTCTCTTGGGGGCATGTTGTAGCATAGTTGGTTGAGGCACTATGCTACAAGCCGGAAGATCACGGGTTGAAATCCCAATGAAGTCATTGGAATTTTTTCAATTGACCTAATCCTTCCAGCCACATTATGGCCCGGGGGTCGACTAAGCCTCTAACAGAAATGAGTACCAGGAATATTCTTGGGGGTAAAGGGTGGCCAGCAGGTAGGGCTGACAACCTTGCTGCCATCTGTGAGCTGAATGTCTATAAAATGTGCGAACCTCAACATCTCACAACCCTATGGGTCTCCACGGCCTGTTACAGGGATACCTTCACTTTTTTTTTTGCTTTTACTTCCCCTCTCGTGTTATCATCTTTCTAAGACATTGTGAGTGGTTGCAATGGTTGAGATTTAGTTTGTGTTGGTGTATGTTAGATCTGATAACTGAATTAACCGATGTATCAAGGGATTAGGTTTATTTCTTTTTCTTTCTGTGAAACTAATCTCCCATTTTGTTAAATTTGGGATCTTGTTTGCTCCATGTGATTTGGAATTTTAAAATTATTCCTTATTTCTAAGATTGTTCTTATTTATTTTTAAGAACAAATGTAGAATATCAAAGTACACAGATTGAGGTACTCTTTCTCTCTGCAAATGCTGCATAGCTTGGTAAAAAGATGATAAAAATGAAGGGTTACCCAACCATTATTGCCTGTAATATTTATCTTAATAAATGAACAAACCACAAGGAAGGAAGTAAGCTCAGTGCATAGCAATACGGAGACTGCAGATCATGTTGTTGAGTGCAGTAAAGTAAATTAAAGGTATCCCTGTAACAAGCTGTGGATGCCCATAGGGTTGTAAGATGTTGTGGTTCCCATATTTTCTAGACAGTCAGCTCAAAGATGGTGGCAAGGTTGTTAGCCGTACCCCCAAGAATATTTCAAGAATACTCCTGGTACTCATTTCTGTTAAAAGGCTAAGTCAACCACAGAGCCATAGTGTGGCTGGAAGGATTAGGTCAATTGAAAAAATCCAGTGACCTCATCGGGACTTGAACCTGTGACCTTCCGGCTTGCAGCATAGTGTCTCAACCAACAAAACTACCGTGTGCCCCCTTGAGTGCAGTATAAAACTAATTTGTATTGCTAAATAATTCTTTCGAGTAATATGTGATTAAGTCCTACATGATCCTTCCAGTTCTCACAATTCATTATCAACTTTACACTTTGTCACAATGAATTGTACAATATATCTTTGATATGTAAATCTGTGTAGTCAGTCTAAATATGAGTCTTTTGGGGGGGGGGGGTAATTCTGTAAGGTAGTAACACCACAATCATTGTGCTCTGAATACCTTCAGAAGAATATAAATAAACTATTATCCCTCATATGTATTTTGAACACATGGAACCCTTTTCATTATAAAGTTAGTGCTTGCACTTTCGCTATTAAAAGGGGAAGAAAAGTAAAGTAGTTAATGGTTGCTGTCAACATGTGAAACCATTGTTTCCATGTCACTTTGACCCTGCTTCTTTGTAATGGAAACTAATGTCTTCAAGTGTACCTTAACTGTATCCGTTAAACCAGTGGTTCTTATACTGTGTATCACAAAACTCCAATTCCAAAATCAGATTTCCTAAGAAGGCTTTTGAACTAATATGACCAATTTGGAAATTATATTTTTATATTCTGTGTGTAGTTAATAAGCTACATCAATAAGAGTGCTGTGTTTAAGGATGTAATGTAATATTGTCTGGTGAAACCTCACTGACATTCCAGCAGTGCTGAAACATCAGTCATCTTCTGCCAAACTCTTCATAGTTACCACTATTAGAACTTCAAATAAGTGAAACATTATTATTTTACGAGCCATATCCTTACACTGTAATATTTCTTTTTCATTGGCGCTACAGCCCTCATTTGGGCCTAGGCCTACCTCCATGAAACTCTCCGTTTCACTTCGGTTTACTAGGTCTTAGACATACAGTAGGACTCCTTGGGCGGGTGATCAGCTCATCGCAAGGCCTCTGCCTGTACACAAACACAGAAAAATGCACACAAACATCCATGCCCTGAGTGGGATTCGAACCCACGATCCTGGCTTCCGAGCGAGCGAAGACAGTGCATGCCACACCGTAATATACAGGTTATCATTTCATTATCTTGTTTACTTTGATGTTGTATGGAGCAGTAGATGTACTACTACTGCCAATGGCTCTACAGCACAGTTTAGTTCCTGCCTGCTTTCAGGACATGTCTTGTTTAGATTCTCAACTTTGTGAAAATTTTCACAGGATGAGGATGTCTGCTGGATGGCTACAGATTTTCCCATAGCCAAATTAACCTGTTTTAAGGTGCTGGACACTCGCACTTCACCTTATTCCCATCTGCTACACTCAATCCTGCTCTCATGGCCACCTCTTTGAGGTAGGGAGTTCTCATTTTCTGGCAGAGCCTGCTTCGCAAGAGGGCATTTCTCACAAAGTAGATGTGACCTTAAATTTCAGGTACATTTAGCATCGTTGCAGTGTCATTTAGATAATTAATGGTATACCAGAGAAAAATGAAGGATTTTGTGGAGTAAAGTAAAGTTTATATACTTACACATTATTCAGAAATTTGGTACATTTTACAACAAATTCTATATTAATTTCTTTTATGTGTTTCGTGGTACCATCACAATATAACTTTGCCCAAGGTATTGTGATTGTAAAGAGGTTGAGAACCACAGTGTTAAACTAGACTATACACTATAGGCATCAGTGAAAAGAAAAGGTAAAACTATCCTTTTAAGAGACCATGGAAGCCCACTGGATCGTGAAATTTCGAGGCTCCTACATTTTTCTAGACAGTCGGATCACAGATGGGGGTGGTGATGTCAGCCTTAACCGCTGGCTGCCCTTTACCCTGAGGAAGATTCTTGGTACTCATTTTTGTTAAAGGCTGAGTTGACCCCAGGATCATAGTGTGGCTGGAAGGTTAGGTCAATTGAAAAATCCAATGACCTCATTGAGAATCAAACCTGTGACCTACTGGCTTGTAGCATAGTGCCTCAACCAAATGTGCTACTGCTTGCTCCTAAATATAATATAGATAAAGGATCAGAGCCGATTGTTTGTAATTTGCTATTATTTCATAAAATGCTAATGTCATTGATAGCACACTCATACTTTACTATGAGCTACAGCTCATTTTAAGTATACAGTTTTGAAACTTATAACAGGACAAGACAAACATGAGTCTTGTACTAAAGTAGATAAATTAGGAAACACTGGTCTTGTTTGCTGAATAGACAAATTGTTTATGAAGAATGCATATCTGTAAAACTATGAAAGGAAGTCTGAAATTGTGTGCAAATTGGACCATATTTTGGACAGAGCAAGCATGTCCCAGGGAAGTTCCCACATACTGTCTCAGAGCTCATGCAAATGGTTCTGAAGATCGTAAGAAGATGGTGCAGGGCTAAGGAACTATGTGTCAGTCCTGTCAAGAAGAACTTGTGCTCTTCACCAGCAGAAAGAAGGCACACAGAAACTGTTCTGCTAGGTAAGGTAATAGGTCATAGCAGGTCCCTGAAGTCTCTGGGGTTATCCTAGTTGGTACGCTGACTTGGAGGGAACATTTGAAATAAAGGTTCAGTAAAGTTTACTCTTTCTTCTGGTTATGTTGTAGGTCCCTTATAAAACCTGGAGTCTTAAAACCAAGGCTTTAAACAGATGCAATATGGCATACATGTTTATGTGTGCAGCTGTCATGTTGTGGCTGAGGGCTGGTCTGGACATAGTTAGGGCTGAACTTGGTCACATGTAGAGGCTGGCATGTATCACTGGATGTGTGTGTAGCTAATACAGCTATCAGATTTTCATTTGTCTCTCCCAACTTCATTTCATTCACTGAGAAAAGAATCTCAGCTTGCAGGCTCAAGGACACAGTTAGTGGTCTGGTAGGGGTTCACATGTAGGTCGAGCCTGCATCGTTGTTTGGCCAGTGAAATCAGACACTGTTTTTCAGATGAATTGGAAAGAATTATAATAATTACTGCTTTTCAGACTCCTTTAAAGTGGAAATCTATCACCTGAATACTGGTTATCAACTTGGTATATGACACTTCTTTCCAGAGGACTAGTCTGGTATACAGATGGGTGAAAGCTGGCTGGCAGGTCTGGGGCAGGGGTTTCATTTTTTGCAACATCATTTGAGCCTCCCCATAGTATCACCATATCGTCTCTAGTTAGGGAATTAACTTCCTGTTTGCACAGTTGCACATATATTGTATTCTTGCTCCTGTCATCACAGTGCCCCTTACCTAAAATTTCCTGTCCACTCGGTTCAATAATTTGGGTGCATATTCTTTTATATGACTATCTCCCATTAAAATGATTTTATTTTTCCTTAATTCCTTTCTATTTCTATTTATCCGTTTCGTATTTATTCCTTCTAACTGCTTCTGTTGATCACAGTCGCTGGCTATTTCGCTTAGCACTGCACACTGGTTTAAAATTGTAGTTATTTGTTGTGGTTTACCCGCATCATTCCTCGTGTTAAATTTCAATTTCTTGTTGTCTTTTACTATCTGCAATTCATTACTCCTTATATTTCCATTCATATTATACTGATCTGCATTCGTATGATCTCGAGTCGTACTTATGTTAGCATCTCGCTGTATCAGATACATACTTACTTATGGAGCTGAGCCCTTCTGGAGGAGCCGCCAATTCTGCAGCTACTGAAGAATTTCCCAGTATTTTATGGAACCCGAAGGTTCATTACCATTATATTGGGTTTTTGGACTTTATCCATCGTCCTGGTTTTTAAGATAACTAATAAAAACACGACGTTTCGGAAACTGGATCTGTTTCCGTCCTCAGGTGAAGGAAAACACCTATTCTGTTGGGTCCGTTAGAAAGAGCTAGCCTCAATCACTGGACAAACGGATGTCTTCATGTTTTGTGACATCGGTTTGTCCAGTGATTGAGGCTAGCTCTTTCTAACGGACCCAACAGAATAGGTGTTTTCCTTCACCTGAGGACGGAAACAGATCCAGTTTCCGAAACGTCGTGTTTTTATTAGTTATCTTAAAATCCAGGACGATGGATAAAGTCCAAAAACCCAATATATCAGTGTGTTATACACCATCGTCAGAATCCTATAGTAACTACTTGTTCATTACCGTGTTCACAAGAGCCCTCCACTGGTCTCTATCCTGAGCCAGATCAGTCTCATCCATACCATCCCGTCCTATCTCTCTAAGATCCAGTTTAATATTGTCCACCCACCTTGGATCAGATACATATATGTCTTTAATAATTTTATTATCTTGTTAGCTGAACTAAGTTCATGATGTGGTCTTCCTATTCTCTTTCGAGATTCAAGCATTGTATACAATTGTTATTCGTATTCCACTTGCCCGTTAAAACATTATTTTCAAGCGACCCATCATACACTGCTATACCACTCTCTGCCATGATAGCATAAATAAATAAATTAATAAATCCTACTTCAGTTAGTACAAAGATAACAGTATCTTTATATCCTTCAGAGCATAAGAACCGATAAGAACCATCACACATTGAGGATGGAATTTGTTATCTGCAACCATCCCAAGTCCTGCCATAGCTTCTGTACCAGAAAAACCTTTCATGAGTATTTGACTCAAAGGTACAGTGCTTACAGAATGATAAATAAGCATCTGTTTGATGATGCAGACACCAGATAATACCCAAAATGGAATAACTGAGACTAACTACAAGTATGATGCATTGAAGATCTGTACTGGGGCCACCTTGAATGGAATATTCATTGGATTGGCTTCAGTATAAATGTATAAAAGAGAATATGACAATCATATTATATTCTCACCAGGATCAGTTATAGGCCATGGTCCTAATAAATAGATTGATATGGCTGAAAGATAACAACCACTGCCTGAATTGCTGTCAGAAATCTGCAACACCACTAGGCTTCAACTGCGTTTCTCCATTTTAGAACAAAATAAAGTTACTCCACAACATAGTAGTAGCCAGAACTACCCATGACAATATGGCCATTGCATGTTGACACAAAAAGCATTCATAAAATAATTTGTTTTTATCCTCAGTTCTATGAATACCAGTTCCCTTAGAAAAAATACTTCAGGGACCAAGGATCAGCCTATTTTGACAAAACTTTCAATTAAGTAGTGAATATATTTTTCAAATATATGCATGTTACTTTCCACACAAGAAGTGGTTAATATTTATGGCTGTAATACAAATAACTTCAGATAGTGACCTCAACATGTTCAGCCAAACACTCAACAATAAGAGATCTGAAAGTTTGTGACGTTGGTATATTGCTACAAGTATTATATTTTTGGACATTATCCATCGTCTGTCTATTGGACCCAACTGAGTAGGTTTTACCTGAGGATGGGGACAGAATCCAGTCTCCAAAACGTTGTGTTTTCAAAAAGGAACGTGACGGTTTTTATAAAATAGATAAGACGATGGATAATGTCCAAAAATACTATAATACTTGTGATAAACAATATATTGATTGCATTGACTTTAGTAGGCCATCCCAGCTGGTTTGAAAAACAGTCAATTTATACTACTGAAGTCATGCTGTATATATTTATCAGAGTGAGAAATTAGTATTTTCGCACATTCTGTAGACCAATACCAATTTTCTTCGTACTTTGAACACAAACAATATGCTCGACATATTCTAGTTTTTTTTAAGCGTTTACGACTTAGTTTGTTATCTCATAGCCAACTTTCTAGTAAAGTCTTTGACTCCAAGTGTTACAAGAGTCGCCATTTTGCTGGCCTCGGCGCCAAAAAGGTGTAGAGAGTGTAACGGTCGTGTCGTACTGTCGTGAAGCTCGACACGAATTTTGGCTTTCTTGTACCTTCGTTATTATTTTTGCGGGAATAATAACATAGAAGAATTAGAAAAGAATAACTGAACACATAAAGGCAAGAATTTAGGTAATTAGTACATTAATTTATTAGTAAAATTGTATAATGCCCTGAGGCATCTCTTACCCTCTTCTGTCCTAGAAAATCGCGGTATTCATTGTCTTGACAACTACGTGTTTGATGTGACAGCTGACGCTTTCTAGACCATATTTTTAGTCGAGTATCCTATTTATTTGAGTTAAATTACTATAGTATTTGTAAAAGGCGATGTATCTTCATTAATTCGTTGTATTCATGATGCAGCCGAATAGGCCTGTATGTTAATAAAGGGAGTTATAAAAGCGTAACTTTGAACTTTATTTTCGTCCATAACTGAAGTGAATACAATTAGACATGTCAAAAAATAATAGCGAATACATCACATGCCAAAGTCACTTAAAATTTACACAGGGATTTATCTCTATAATATAAAAACCGTTATAAGGAACATAACTAAAAAATACACAAGACCAAACTTGGGCAGTAAAGGTAAATGCCGATATTTTTACCCTGTTTTCTGCCGGTGAATATTGAATGATTTATGAATGAAGTATTCTGGATTACGGTAGTTTGGCTTTAGAGTTAAAAGTTCTAGTACTGGAATTTCTCTGTGTTTCTTTCACAGGTGACCATAAAATCTTTTGGTGGCTAGTGCACCTCTGTACAATATATCAGTACAGGAAGAGGAAACGGATATTTCATACCATCCTGGATTTTGTGGCTTTTTGGAAATTTGTCTAAACCCTGGTTGAAGGTGCTTATGGAAAGTAAGTACTGGATTCATTTCATTTGGCATTCATAATTTCTACAACAGCAACTCTCGGAACAAGTCACATCATTAAATACATCATTCTTGAAATCCTTTTGCCCATATTCATAAAGGATTAGAATTTGTCAACAATGTATAATCTTGCTTTACATGGTTAACATATTAAAATATAACACACTGTCAAACTAGATAAATAGTCAGATTAGGTACAATATATAAATCAAAATGCAAGCCAACCTTATTAGTTCATCAGGATAATTTTTAAGAGTGTTCAATAACTGAAGAGTCCAACATATGACCATGTCAGTCACCAAACACATTAAGATTCTGCAAGCAACCATTTGTTGCAGTTGTTGTAGGCATGAGCAGTTGGTAAAAGGGAATTTGTAAAAAAATGTAGTTGGCTTATGCAGTATGTGTGTGAGGAAGCGGTTACTTAGTGAAATAGTGATACTGTGCAGCATGTATAAAGGCATGTTTTCAGGAAAATATATTGAAAGCCCCTATTTAGTGCAAAGTTCAGTAAAATACGTGCAGCATTTACTGTGTTTTGGACGAAATGTAGGCAACCTGTTACTTCCAGTAGTTAGCAAAAATGTATTCTGTAGTAAGACTTGACTTCACATGACATTTTCACTCAGCAGTTTTTCAGGCATGCTGTTCATGGACATATCACTTGGATGTTATGAATATGGCTAGTTTTTCCCTGTGTAGTAATAGAAAACACATCAGATAGAGTAATAAGCACACACTTAAGGCCATGTAACTAGGAAAACATGTTAAGACAGTGCATGGTATATAACATTTATTATAAACTCACTACACCAATCTTCGGAAATATATGTGTGTGTATATATATATAATATTACTGAGAGAGGTGGGGTTGTATTTACAGTTAAGCCAGAGAGAAAATCTGCCATGGACTCAGGAAACTCTCACAGTTATACCTGACAGATTTGAAGAGGAATATTGCATTTGTCATGTTTATATTCTATGGCCTGAATTTGAGCTATCTGGCTTACGTATTTGTACCATCACATTGCAATTCATTGTAGCTATACTTTGCTTTGAAAATTGAAGTCAATTTTAATACACATACATATATTTCACAAATCCAAAATACAATGGACATGAAACTGGTCACAAGCATAACAAACAAACAAAACAGAAAGACAATACAAAGCTAAACAAATGCTGTAACCAATTATTTATTGTATGCTCCAAAAGTTCAATAATATCCTTTTGTGGTTGTGTTGCAGTGTAGATTAAAAATAGTGATATTTTTATAGGTAAAGTTGTCCCTGTGAGGAACTAATTAAGCACTATGCCCTGAAGGCATATGGGGAAGTAGATGTCTGTATTTATGTTTTCTTGACTTTCACACTGGAGGAAAGCAGTGCCCTATGTATTTCCAGGGTATTTCATGACACTTAAAGTAGCTAGACCAGAAAGCGCCGATTGAATGGGTAGGTGAACAGTAATTTGGAAAGGATTAGGAAGGAAGCAGTAGTGGCCCAAATGAGGTACAATCCCAGAATTTTCCTGGAGGCACAGAAACCATGGCAGGATATCTGATTCCCTGGTTAAGATTTGAGTTGACAACTTCAGACCACAGGTTATGAGCATTACCACTATGTCAACCCATTTAGCTCCTGTATGGAAATATTTGAGAAAAAGTTTGTAGGTAATGTAGACAAGGTTGGAAATTTCTTTTTGCAGCACACCGCATTGCCAGGCTTCAGACATAATATTTTGTCCAAAATTCACATAGCGTTACTGTGCTTATGATGTATGTTTTTCCTGCCGCCGCCCCCCCCCTCCCGGTTATAAATTTTGGACCTCAGGATTGTAAATTTTTATGAATATCTCGTTTGAAAACTGTTTGAACCTAGTAGAAAAATACTTACCTTTGATTATTTGCTTGTCAAGACAGGCTGCCCTGTAGTGGCAGAAATCCTTTGACTCACCTCCACATGGGGTAACATTTAAGTTTCTGAAATGATGTATGATAATAAATTTTCAAAGAAAAATGCAGCTTTCATTATTTTTTTTTAAATATATAATGTGAAATATCAATGTCAACAATTAAACACAATACCAACATGAGACTTAAAGGTTATATTTGTCAGATTTAATGCATAAAATATCTACTTAAGTAACATGCTTCCAGAAAATAAAAGAACAGTAATAATCATAATAGGAATTGGATTAGCTTAGTTGGTATAGCGACTGGGCTATGGGCTGGATGGCTGTGGAGTTAGGGTTTAGTTCCTGGCATGTCCAGACTGGCTCTGAGGCCTACCCATCATGAAGCTGACCACTCACCTCCATCTAAAGCCAAGGTTAAGAGTAGTGGGGCTATACTTCCCCTTCCCCATATGTCTTCATGGTGTGGTCCTTAATTAGTTAATTTCAATAATCATGATAGATTGTAGGATAAGAGATCTGTGCAATAAAGTGAGTGCTCAGTCTTCTTAATTTTTATTTCTTATATATATTAAAACCTGGAATTTAAAGAAAAACTGATTTGGATTTCAGTGTACAGTGCAGCAGATTGTCTTACACATTCTCCCCTTAAGATGGAAAGGAATTAAACCTTTTAAGTTCATTGCTATTTTTTTGCACATAACAGGGTGAAATTGCTGACACACAGAAGTTCAGGAGAGCAAGTCGCATTGAAAGTGAACAAGTTGGAGAAACATTCAGATGCACGAAGCAACGTATATAAATAGGTGTGCATACTGCTAGTTCATCGGAACTCTAGCCATAGTAGAGGGCTCATACCATCTCTCGCGGAACTGGGGGAGCAGTCTTATCAGCTTACATCAGCATGGGTACTACCAGTTTGGAATGTAACGTCTTGGAGTGTGGTCAGGTGTGTAGCACATTGTGTTGCTTGTTAGTTGGTACCAGTCATAGCGATTGTATTACATGGTGTTCGTGTCACTATCATGGCACACCGGCAATCGCACGGAACAATTGATAGTGAGGCCAGGGAAGTAATAGTTAATATTGTAGAGAAGTGCGATGTGGTAAACATTTGTTATTGCTGCTCCCAAAAGCTACGGAACGTGCTGCTGTGTATGCTGGGGTATCTTACGCCACAGTAAAGGACATCAGAAAGGAGGACAAGAAACGAAAGGAAAACGACATCAACAGACAGCTGCAGGCACCAGGGGACAAGAGAAGACAGATTTCTCGCAGTGTTGTGTGTGTAGACTTTGATAAATGCGTTATTAGAAATGAAATTCACAATTTCTATATACAGGAGAAATGAGTGCCCACCCTATCAAACTGACATAAATCAATAACCTGGATGTAACATTTTTTCACATGATCTGTTACACACAAGAATGGCTGAATGTTTGGAATCTGTAATTTCTTATGTTTAGGATGCTAAAGTAAATATATTGACTTCTCATGGATCTGCAGTTACCTGCATATCTTCCTTTGGTTTTTGATGGTGTCTTTCTGAGGGAGGAAATGTGTACAGTGTATTCTCAATTACCTGTGCATGGGTTGTCCGGTTTGTGACTTATCCATGTACATGTTAGGTGTATTGACAGACAACTTTGTAGAGCACCTGTTCCTCATCCATTCTGTATGTGTGAAACAGCTAGAGAACAGCCGGACGGATTTACATTAATTCTGATATTCGAGAGTTTTGCAGAAAGGAAGTTTTCAAGCTATTTCAGCTCACCATTAGATCAGGCAGTTTTAATGAGCACCTCACACGAAGACCTGCAGGTGTGTCTGTGTATCCTATGAAATATTTTTTGAAGGGAAAATGTTTTGACCAGAAGTAGTCAAGAAAAATTAAACATGCAGATAGTCACATCTCTTGAGCACATTTGCAAAGTCTCTATCTAGGTGCAGATCTCGTAAGGGGTTGAATATACTGACTGAGGTTGATGGTACAATTAACCTGTAAAAACTTTCTTTAGCATTCTAGCAACTGACACAGAATCAACTTAGATCCATGTGGCAGGGTCAGAACAGTCCAGTATTTGGGTTATTGTTTCAATCCTGGCAAAAACAAAGGGTTTTCCTCTTCGCAACTGCCCAGGTGGTACATATGGGGGATGGGGGAGGGGGTTGTGTGGAGGTAAAGCAGGGCTGAAGCTGATCATTCATTTCCATCTAATGTAGAAATTAAGAATTCCTGAAGCTGTACCTCCACTCACCCATGTCTTTATGAAGTGTAGGGCAACTTCTGGCTATGCCAACATGTCGTACAGCAATTGTACAAGATTGAGACAGAGTGTTGCATCATAGTGCTGGCTTCATTTTGGGAGGTCCTGTCTTCAGTTCCAGTGTCATAAGTGGGTATCCTGAGGGTTCTCCTCAGTCCTTCCAGGCTGATGTTGGGTAGTGCCTTGAACTAGACGGACCACTTTCATATCCTGTCAAATTCACTTTCTGTCTTATGTGCAGTGAAGTTATATAATGAAGTAAAATTATTTAATTTTCCTCCCCGCCCACAATTTTTAGTGTCTGATTTTTTCTTATGGAGATTGCCTCAAATTCAAATGAGTGTATAGAAATCTTATATTTGGTTTTCAGGTACTGCTTTCTTATATATATGCTGGTGTTTATTACTTTCAGTATCAATACAGTGTACGTTAATACAGAATTCAGTCATCGTTTTTCAAGTTTGTCTCATTTTACATCTGCCATAGCTTATAGAAACCCCATAACAGTTGTGAATTTCACTCATACTCTTTGGTCCTCATATTTGTTCATTCATGATACAGGAATTTGGCAGTTGTTGGTTTTCTGACGTATTTGTGCTTGTGTCTGGAACAGGTATTAACAGCAGTTCAATTTATTTTTAGGAACAGACATTGACAAAGCGTTGTGGGACATTCGCATATATGGCCCCAGAGGTCTTGATGCCGCCATACCATGGCGAACCAGCCAATTTGTGGTCATGTGGTATCAATGTTAACTGGAAGTGAGTACCATTTTAGGTATCTGTAGGACTACTTGGTGGGGGTTGTAAGTGCACTGTTACATGCATGTGGTGCCCAACATATTTTAATAGCCATAAGCATGGTATGACACATTTATCTAGTTCTTGCTCTTATCCTGAAATGTGTATTCAGTCTGTTCAGAATAGCTTATCTCTATAATGAACACAATGGGTTCTAGTGACATGTCCCTTGTTTCTTTGTGCTTTTTATCTCTGCTTTACAAATGCTAGCTAACATCAAAACTATTACAGTTATAAAAGGTGCTACAATGTAGGAACCATGTGACTTTTTTTTTTTATTTTCAATGTATTCCAAATATTTCGTTAAGTTTTGTTTATACCAAGATGGGGCCAACCACTTATTCTGCTGTTTATTTATATGGTTATAATAATAATAATAATGTCCCATCACTTGGGAATCCCAGAGCTCTTAAGGAGAGAGAGAGAGACAGGATTTTGCCAGATGATTGTAAATTGAAAACTTGCAGAGAGAGCTACACGTGATCCCTAAAAAGGCGTACTAGGACTGTTTCCAGAAGTGGCAGAGGTATTGGGAGCGGTGCATCACTGCAGGAGGGGAGTACTCTGAAGGTGATAAGGCTCACTCAGTTGAAGGCATGTCCAAAAAAATAGTTCTGAAAATTTTGAAGAGACCACATATGCAGATCACTCTACTTCTCTCATAACTGTTGTGTATAAGAAAGCAAGACTTATCCCTATGCATGCCACAAGCCAATTAGAACATTGCAGTACATACATATGTTAAAAATTGTCACAGTGGAAGAGATTGGCTTGATGTTAATCACTTCATGTAACATTTCTATCAATAGATAGTATCAGATGTTTTGAGAGAGAAAAAAAAAACAAGCTTTCAGACTGTTATACCTGGGGCCATTTGAAGGTAATCAGAGTAGGAAGTATTGTGTGTGTTCCTTACATCAGCATTTATAACGAAACAGCCTTGACCTTTCTAGCACATAGTCCTGTGGCAGGGCTTGGCAGTAAAAGCGTTTACTTATGAAAGATAATACTGTAATTACTTTGCTTGTAAAGCAGCTGTAGAGAAATAAGTAGAATATGTAGGAACAGAATGTTGGTATTACATTCATAGAACCCTCAGACATTTAGATTCCACTGAGAACGTGATAGGTATGGAAAATCTTGTGCAAGACATGGCTTAAATGAATACTATTAATGTATGTTATACAAAACTCATTAATGATATTGTGTTATTGAATTTTTAATTAATAGTCTTTTATAAAACTGTATAAATTGTATAAGGTTTGCCATTGCTTTTACTACTAAAATTAACTTATTTATTATATTGTATATGTTTATCAGTATTTTATTACAAATGTGTATGCTATTCGATGACAACTGTAATTCTTAGTTGTGACTGTAACTAGGATGATCTCCACATCCGCATGAGAGTGTACTCTTGACAGGATTTATGGAAGGTGAATAAATAAAATGAAATAGCAAGACAGTTTCACAGTCCCATATTGCAGCATGGAACAGTAGCCTAACTAGCTCCAATCTGAAGAAATCTTATACAGAGGCTGTTGATTTTGGATCATTGAAATTTAATGTTAAATGAGGGAAAATATTAAATTGAAAAAAAAAACGTTAAATGGGGGTTTCACTGTACAGTGAAACCCTCATTTAATGCGTCTTTGGGGATCAATGGATTTTGAACACTATTGAGGAAGATAGTAGAAGGAGGAAATTTGATACTGAAATGATTGACTTGTTATCATTGAAGTTCAATGTTAAATAAGGGAAACCCTTAAATTGAGGAATCCTAATTACTGTACTGTATTGAAAGTTTGGAGCGTGTTTTGTGTAAATAGCATTTCAAATTTCCGTTGAGGTTATATGCACAATTTTGAGGATAGCAAGTGAGAGCAGTGGTCCTCTCTTTGGTATCCTAGCTGTAGGTTATGTTGGCTGTTCCTAAAGCTAGTGTACCAAAGTCAGGAACAGTGTTCCTTTCATAACTGGCAGCGGCATCACAGCATGAAGGAATGTTGCACAGTTGCACATTGTGGCTGTATTGGTGTTATATGCACAGTAGCTTTCTTTTTGTATAATTGTGTTCAGGGAAGTTGGTAAGTGTTTAGCTCAGTTTTGTTTGTGCTGGGAATGGACTTTCCTAGATCCCTATTTGCCTATGAAAAATAAATGTTACACATATTATCTCGTGTTGTCATTGGTTTTGTATAATTGCTAAACCTGTCAAGGCATGTTCACTATTGTACAGGGCACCATCTGGCTTTATGTCTCTCTCTTTAAAAGCATGAAAAAACTTGGCCACTGAATGAATTTTCATTAAATTTTATATATCAGAGATCTACTAAAATTTATTTTCACTTTCCAGTTTTGGTAGAAACCAGACCAAGATACCGTTACTTTATGTTAGAGGTCTACATGTTTCTCTGCATGACTTGAGCATAACTGTAAATATTTATCAGAGTGAAAAAGGAAAATTTAAACACAGCCAAGAAAAAGAAACATGTTCTGTATTCAGAATATTTCTGCCATTTGCGAGATAGCTGAAGAATATGGATGCTAGGGACAATTCAAAATAGTACAATGATATCATTTCAAGTGTTGCATGCATGCTGGGCATAACAGTGTTGTCCGACTTTGAGCTTTTCCATTTGGAAGCTGAATCCGAAGACATCACTGAATATTTCTTAATACTACAAAATATCACTACTTAATATAGTTGTACTGGTGTGCCCATACAGAGAAATCTGAACCACAGTTTGTGGAACAGCTTTTATTTTCATGGTTTTTACTTACACTTAAAAGACTGTAGGTTCTTGCACTCACTTGTTTTGCCTCTATAATCTTTGGAACCAGCTTTGTTTTACCATGGTTACTGAAAAATATACGATGGTTACATACTCGTCTTAGTCCCAGTCCTCTTCTTACCGGTATAAGGAACATGACTTGGACCCAAAGCCTGTGCACGTGACAGAATTAAAAGTTTGCCCTTCATATTTACAGAAATCTATTATTATTCCTTCTTAAAAGAGATCATAATGGACAGATATTATGAAGTTTGTGTGGGTGTATGTAATCAGTATTTATATTGTCCATTGATATCACTATTAGACATACATTTGGAGTGGACTGAATGCTGTATCTCAAAATGACTTATGAAAACTTCTTGGATGGAAATTTTCCAGTAGCAGAGTTCATCTCTCACATGTCCTCATCGTACGTGCATAGCCAGAAAGTAAAGTTTTCTTCCTTTCAGGGTCTGAACATGAGAGGCTGTCACGTCACTTTATGGAGACGCAAACTTGGCAATTTGTTAAAGATGGCCTGAAGAGATATATGAAGTTCAAGGAAAGTAACGTAATGTAAATGTTTTATTTTGTTTCAGGTTTACCATGGGATGTAAAGAATACGTGGCATGGAAGGATGGTAAAGCACGACATCTAGAACTATTTATAGAGTTGGGCCATTTGGCCATGGACTTGATACAGAAGATACTTGTACGCATCCCATCTCGCCATGCAAAATTTAGGGCAATTAAGGATCATCAGTGGTGTAACATGTGTTTTGACAAATTAGGTAAGTCCACTAGAATGTATTTAAGTATCTTAATTTTGGATTGTAAGGGGGGGTTACTTTAAATTGCTGATCTTGTAAGATGATAGAGTGTTATTTGGACCAGATTCCAGAGTTTCGTGTTGCATTAATTGGGGCAGATATTCATTAGAATGGACTCCCCCCCCACATTAGCAGCTGAATGCCTTAACTGTGCATAGGAAGGGCATTCAGAATGAACTCTTAGATATCAGTGGTTAGTAAAACTATGTTACTTATGTATAATTTGCCTTCAGAAGTTGTAAAATTTCATTGCTACATTGGGGAATGTGGTTGTGTACTAGTGAATGTGTTGATATACGAGGGGGTACCCAAAAGAAACCGAACTTATTTTTTTTAAACTTATTTATTCAAATTTTAAGCACAAACCTTCAATCCCCTTCAAAGTACTCTCCACTTACACTGATGCACTTGTCTAGTCTTTTATTCCATTTTTCAAAACATTGTCTAAAGTCATCTTTTGAGATGCTTGACAGCGCCTCCGTCATTTTTTCCTTCACCTCAGCAACATCAGTAAAACGCTTTCCTTTCATGTCTCTTTTCATTTGAGGAAACAAAAAAAAAGTTTTGATCATTTCGGGACTCTTCTTTCAAAGCACAGCATGCTTCCACGCGACCTTGTTTTTGTTCAGCAGTCAGCAGTCATGGCATGAATTTCGCAGCCTCCCTTTTCATTCCCAAATCTTCTGTCAAAATTCGCTGAACTGAGCTCCAAGTCACTCCCGACAGCTCCACAATTTCTTCAATGGTCCGTCGTCGATCTTCCTTGATGATTTCACGAATTTTTTCAACATTTTCATGTGTTCGGGCCATGGAAGGACGACCAGAACGAGGTTTGTCATCAATTGACATTTCACCATTTTTGAAACGGGAAAACCACTCAAACACTTGAGTTTTCCCCATAGCATCGTCCTTGTACGCCGTTTTTAACATTTCAAGAGTTTCTGTTCCACTTTTCCCGAGCAAAAAGCAGAATTTCACCTCTGCATGCTGTTCACGAAAATCAGCCATTGCAAAAACGATCACACAAAACAGTTGTCACTATAAACTCTGCTGAAACTAGTCCTTACCTTCTGAAGCAACGGTAGTCGGCTTATCGACTCAGGAATGTTAGCTCTATGCGCTCATAGCGGCAAAACGCGGTACTACAAAAGCTCTGCCCACAAAAAAAATAGTTCGGTTTCTTTTGGGTACCCCATCGTACTTTCTTTTCTCCCCTTGTTCTTGTGTAGATACAAGGCATTATATTTTCCTTACTTAAACTGAAGTCAAGAGTTCCACATTCTTGTGCATAAAACTTAGATTCCAGTCATGTCATAATGTTGCTTTGTATTTAAGAAGCTGTGTTGTGATAATGAAACAGATGTTAAAAATGAAAGGAAAATTAATTAATCATATATCATGGGATCCCATCTGTTGTTCTTATGTTTAAAATGAATTCCTCATTTTGTGCCCAGTTTCAAATGTTTATTATTTTGATCAGCTGGTAATGATTTATTTTGAGGAATTAGTGTTTATATCTGAAGTCAGTAAAAAAGCTATCCCTGTAACAGGCCATGGAGGCCCATAGGGTTGTGAGATGTTGAGGGTCCCACATTATCTAGACAATCAGCTCGCAGATGGCGGTAAGGTTGTCAGCCTTATGCACAGACCACCCTTTACCCACCCCCAGGAAGATTCCTGGTACTCATTTCTGCTAGAGGCTGAGTGAGCCTCAGGGCCATAGTGCGGCTGGAAGGATTAGGTCAGTTTAAGAAATCCACCTCATTGGGACTCAAACCCCTGACCTTCTGGTTTGTAGCATAGTGCCTCAACCAACTACGCTACCACCTGTGTGAAGTTAGTAATCTTGATAAATTTTCTCACATTAATATTTTCCTCAGCTTAATATTCAAATCCATTGCTCCACAAAGAAACCAAGAGTCTCAGTAATATCGTATTTCTTTGTAGTTGAACTGTCCTAAATGTTGCTTAAGTTTACTTTGTAACAGCATTGGGAACACCTCTGTGGTCTAGTGGTCAGAGTTCCTTGCTACAGATCCTGAGGTCCCAGGTTCGATTCCCGGCGCTACCAGATTTTCTGAGAAGTAGTGGGCCTGGAATGGGGTCCACTCAGCATCTTGAGGATAAATGAGGATCTATTTTAAGGAAATAGCGGCTCCAGTCTAGAAAAACGAGATTAACGGCGTTTGGGATTTATTGTGCTGACCATTTGACACCCGTTATCCACAAAAGTTGGCACTTACTTCGCCGACAAGCAGCGGTCTCTCAGTCGGTATAGTTTGCTTGCAGAGTACAGCCCATGGAATTTTCTTTTGTGGGGGGGGGGCATTTGGCAATTTTTTCTTGTGTATGTATTGACTTTTAAGTGTTCAGTTTCTTAACCACAGATATTATCTGTTTTCTTAGTCAGGTACTGAGTGACTCTGAGGAATATTGACACTCAGAGCCACTTGGTATCAGTCTATGGAGACAGAATTTGCGCCATTACTTTATAGTAGGGCATGCAGGTCATCTTCAAAGCATTTGTCTTTTCTTTGGTGATGTAGCCGTATGATTGCTGTAGAAGGTCATAAAGCTAGATTACCAAAGCAAAGACATTGGCTAAATCAGCATTGGAAGAGGATTGATTTAGAGCAGTGAAACATGACAAAGCTGGAGAAGAGAGATGATGCTGCTGTTGTCCTCTCTTTGGTGATCTAGCTGTATGAGTGTGAATTAACATCATAAAGCTAAATTACCGAAGTCAGGAAAACAGTGTAGTCTGCAGATCATTCAGTTCACTTAATATATTGGTATCTGGTAATTCATTGACTTATGAAGAAAGGGCCTTCAAAACCAAATAATGAGGTTGGCTGTGAGGTTCTCACAATGGTGACATTGAAGATTAAAATCTTATGGTTAGTAATGCTGTATAGCCCAGAGAAAGCCAAACGTTTTGGAGGAACATAGAACCTCCATCTTCAGGGTTGAAGAGAAAGCAGAGCAGCCCCTCCCCTCTTTATTCTTCTTTAGAAAGGGGACAATGCTGCATCCATTCCTGGTTCATATGTTTAGTTCTCAGTGCCTCTGTCCCCAAGGTAGAATGGGTCATCCAAGCTGCAATCTTAAGCAACGATAGCCAGAAAATCCCCAGATAACAGAATAAAATTTAATACAACCAAATGAATTAATACAGTAGAATACAATAGAAATACAAACTCTACTTATGATGCCCCAAAACTGACATCGTGTAGTTTTGGGGATCCCTTGTTGTCAACAGCCAGGAGGGAAGAAAATGCCAAAACAAATCTAAATTTTGGGGAGGAAAAAATCTCGAGGTAGAATTCCACCCACCTACCACGTCGATGGCAGGCCACTCCCTCTTACAAAATCCTCACAAGGAATACAAGCACACACTGTTTGGAAAAGTCAAACCAGCCCCCAAAAGAAATATATATGGGGCAATACAAAACCCCAGGCAAGTAAAGTAAAACAATCCTTAAAAACTCCTAAACAGCGATGCTCTAATTCAGCCATGTCAAAGAAAGGGGACACTAGCACTCCACAGCCAGTAGGAGAAAAATGAAACGAAATTTGGACCAACAAAAACTAAACAGAATTTCACTACCTCCCTCGCATACTGCTTGTAATGGAGTAGTCTCCGTCCTCTTTTTCCCTCGCTAGACTAAGCATGCTAGAAACAGTTGGAGGGGAGGGGGATCACATTCTAGAACTCTAGAACACTGAAGGAAGGGTGAAAAGGGGAGGGGGATAGGAAGAGGCTGCTGAAGCAAGCCATCAGTAGTAAGCATTGCTCCAATAATAGCCGATATAGGACACAGACTTGTAAGTCATTCCTCTGAAACTTTGGGCTTTCTCACAACAACTTGGCATTAACCCAGAAGAATGTCCTGTGCCCATCAAATAAGGATCTTTGAGAAAGAACTCAGAGCTTGAAGAAGAAATATTCAGTAGCCTAAACATACGAGAATATTGCAGATGTGAAGATATGTTTTATATATATATATAAAGAGGTACATGTGCATGTGATGGCATACATGAAGCAGCACTGCGGTGCTGTTTGCCTCATTGTTTCATTTGTCACTCTAAGCTGTGGAGCCTGTAAGGTGGCTTAAGGCATAACATGCATTGAAAGGTTCCTAGCACATAATCTGTTGTTTATATAGATGTACTAGCACCTATGCACATACTCAAATGTCTTCCACATAACGCTGCATGTTTGCAACATGATGGTGAGGTATTGTTTTAAAACATAATACTCAGTGAAGTCATTCTTGTGTTCCCAGTTTTATTCTAGCACAATATATGCTGTTTTAAATTTCCTTGTGAAGGTCTTAACTTCATGTTCATATCTGTGTCTTAAACAGATTTAATTGTAGGAATGCACATGAACTCTGTCAGTACCAACATTCCTTCAGTGGTTAGGGAAGTATAACAGTTCAAGGGAGGTGTGGAAGGGTTGACCAGTGAGACTTCTGTCTGAGCCCTATGTACATTTCTGATAAACCTGTAGGAGTGATGTAAAAAAAAAACTCCGTGGTTTTAGTCCACAAGCGAACTATACCGACCAGCAACCGCTGCTTGTCTGTGAAGTTAGTGCCAACTTTAGCGGATAGAGGGTGTCATGTGGTCAGCGCAACGGATCCCCACGGCCATTAATCTTGGTTTTCTAGATCGGAGCCGCCATTTCCTTGAAATAGCTCCTCATTTATCCTCACAAGGCTGAGTGGACCCCTTTCCAGACCCTCCACTTCTCAGAAAATCTGGTACTGCCGTGAATCGAACCCGGCAGGAACTCTGACCACTAGACCACAGAGGCGGTCATAGTAGTGATGTATGTTTTTTAAAATGTTAGAGGGGAACAATCAGTGTGTTAAGATTTTACAGCTTCTGTCCTCTCACATAACTCTCTCCAGTTATTCTTATCATAAGTGACTGCAAGATTTTAATATTGAACATACTTCATTGAGAGAATTGTGTTTCAGGATCACCAAAGATGGGCATTGATTCACCAAAAGATGAGCAGCATAACAAGCGCTTTTGCTCTGGGAGCGAAGTATCTACAGTCTCTGCCCATAGCGCAGCACATGATAGCTGTGCTTTGGATGACTCAGTGGCCAGACTGAGTAGATCTCAGCCACAACCAAGTTTAGAGCAGCACAGTATACTAGTTGAGTGTTGCTGCAGCTATGCAGGAAGAAAAGGGGATATTGTCATTTTCACAGCCAGTGCACCTGAATGATGTGGTGCTGAATTCACAGCTTCATGCTACTCAGCCATCTACACGGACTTCCAGTCAGGTATGTAGTGCTAAGCAGAACTGAATCTGATAAATTTGTTTTTAGAAATGGGTTGAAGTNNNCCCCCCCCCCCCAGAATACTTTCCAAAACTTGGTGCGACGCATGACATGCTTCTGTGTATGTACAAACTATGAGGAAATGATTGAAAAAAAATGGCGTAATCATCGATTTTCACTGATTGCTTGGGCATGCCTGGTGTGCATACAGTTCTCTCCTGTGTCTTACTGAAACACCGGATGCTTAACCATTGTCACTGTTACTTAATGCACAAAGAAACCTGTAGACTTCTCCATCCCTGTGTGCAGCCATCTTGCTTGAAAACAGAGCATGTTTCTTTTCTCATATCTTGCTGTCTACTGGGATTTTTTGGTGTCATTTTGGCACTTTGATTTGCATGTTCATTCAGAACTTTGGTGAGAATAAATTTTACAGATTTGTATTTCAGTATCCTGTTGCAATTGTTCACATTAGCGTCCATTTGTCCACAATCTGTCTAAATTGCAACACTTTTTATTCTACACTTCGATACACTCTTTTTCCAGATACTAGAGTCTTGAAAAAGAGATGAATCTGAACTTTTCCCAAAACCACCAATGTCTACTGATGTAAAGCAGTAGTTAGAATCACAAACAGCTAGTACAACAATTGAAAAAAAAAATTGTAGTTATAGAACACTGAGCCACTTTGCTCTGGTTTTATGATTGCTCCTAAGCAATTTGTAAAGTTTTGCATACTTGTAAAAATCTAAAGCAATCTGAATCCAGTTTTCTTTGGTTGGTTGTGGCATACAGCTATCCTGTAAGTAATCTCAAATCTTGTTGCAAACATCTTGTATAATTGAACTTAATGTTGCTATACCAATCCTGTAGCTAGAGTGCGTCCAGTTGCAAGGTATCTGAAATGAAGAATTGTATACTATTGTACATTCCTAAAAGTTTGTTAAATAAGTAAAGCATTTTACATTTTAATTTCAGCGACAGCTCTGCAAAAGAAATGGAAGAATTTGAGGCTCAGGTTTGTCCGAAAAATTCAAAGAATGAAGGGCAAAAAATCTGGTTCGGGCAGAGAGCCGAAGTCAGAATACACATATTTTGATATCCTTTTGTTCTTGAAACCAGTTGTAACGAACAAAGAGTAAGTGATAATGAAATAATGGAAGTACTGAATACTCTATTTGCTTCATAAACATATCATTTTTCATAGTAAGTGTATTATTAATTCTTTTGCATGTGCTCTCATTTCTTAGAACTACTACTAATATTTCCGATTCAGAAGCACATGAAGAAGTTGAAGAGGAACAAGGTGCTACTTCTACAGAGCTTAGATCAACCCCCTCCCGAAAGGAAAGAAAAAAAAAAAGGATGGAAACAGATGGACAGTGGACAGTGTGTGCCAAGTCATTTCTGAAAGTCTCCGGAGAAAAGCAGTTATGGAGCAAAGAATTCAGGAAGAGTTAGGCGGTGACGAAGACAGACATTTTCTACTCTCTCTCTTATCCTCTCGACAAAAAAAGTGCCTGAGAATATGAAAATGCTTATGAGAACTGAGATTATGCAAGTTGTGATGATGTATATGCAATCTCCCGTTCTACCACCTATCCCGCATACTCATAATCCCTATCAAATTGGACATCATGGCCCACTATACCTCCTAATGAGTATTATACTGGCCCTTCTCACTCTCTTGCCACCCTTCGTCCAGTACACGGTTTTCCACAACCCCATTTCCCTCAGTCCTCTGATGCAACTCCTCCATATTCTGTCGCTGATCTGAGTCCCTCAACCAACACATCGAGCATTATGGAGCGTGAACTTGGTCACTAATTTGTTTCAGAAAGACATAATATAAAATGTAAAGGGACCTATTCTGTTTTCAGAAAAGAATAAAAACACTGATGTAAGTTTTTTTTTCTTTCCCCATTATACATAGCATGAAGGTTTGGATTTCCCCTACCTTAACGTCACTGCTTTTCTCTCCACAGCAGGGATATATCTCATGTTCATGTCTCTCTGATGGAGTGAGAACCTCAAAATGTTGTGTAATTCATCGAAAGACGATATGGACATTCTGAAGTAATTAAAAAATTTTCTTCGTCCTCCCGTAGCTTATGAAACAATATAAAAGTACCCTTCTTCTAATCTCGAGCTAATTATAGGATGAACCTATAAGGTTCGATTACTTTTTGTTTTTCTTATTAATTGCTGGGATTAATAAAATTGCAGCTTCTTCTGGTTCAAGCATGGCTACACTACGCACTACACTGAACTGCTGTCATGCTTTCGGTTATAATTCACTGTTACACACACACACACACACACACACACACTAGTCCTCTCCTGGTAATGCAATTAAAACACAGGAACTAGCACTTCCATTCACTTCAAATATTACACATAAATAAAATCTTCAAATCACACTAAATCCTCACAAGCTGATCACCTGTATCTGTACTCCTAGTTCCAATTAGCTCTTTTCGCCTGCTTCCACCGCTGTTATCTTTTGTAACAAGTAACTACCTTATAAGTGTTCTCATAACTCTTGTCACTCTATCTCACTACTTCCAGTTATAATTCACTCTGAACTTAGAGCTCAAAGCTCTCGTTATATAGCTGTGGCATGGGCCGCATAGGAATCAGTTTTATGGTTGCATAAGGAAGACCACAGAGCGAATGAGTTGTGGTAGGTACCTTGCCAGCCCATTGGCACGCTATTACCTAGCAATGAGCTATAGGCATTTGTTCACTGAGATGCAGCTTCTATTGTTGCAAAATATTCTGTGTTTACAGAGCTGCTGACTGGCAATGCATTGATCAAATCTGTTTATATATATATATATATAATGTGATGTGCTATATGCTGTCCATTGCTTCGCAACAGCTGCAACAGAAATGCACACTTCAGTGATAACGAATACATGGAAATTGTTGAGTTCCCACAGTGACGAATTGAATACCAACAGACCATCGCGTGGGAATATCCGTAACAACAGATGAAACCAAACACTTCTACAAGGTGTTCTGTACTGAGTAAGGCTAGCATTTCCTAAGCAATGGATTGTTTGTTGCATAACAATGGATGAAATTAACCCTTCAATAAGGTGTTCCCTATTCTGTCCGAACGCTGGATATATAAGGGTGTAGCTTCGGCGAGAATTCAGCATCACAAGTTGTCTTCGCAGGAGTGTTCCAGAGTGTACTAACGGTGTAATACTGCTCTAAGTGAATAATTGTATGAGTGTGTGTACAGGTAAGAGTCCAATATAAGAATTTGTTCTGATCCGAAGACCCACGTAATTTATTTGTGTCGAGTCACACAGCCGACACGTTACACTGGTGTCAGAAGTGGGATAGATCGCATTCTTAAAAAGACTTATTGGACCACATCGAATATAATACCACTACATTATGGATATGGAAAACATGGAACTCCTGAGAGCCATGAAAGAAATGCTGGATGCCAGAGCTATACTCGTATATCCAGCGTTCGAACGGAGTAGGGAAGACCTTATCAAAGGGTTAATTTCATCTGTTATTATGGAGTGAGTAGTCACTCATCTGGTGAAGAAATTTCCTATGTGTGACTCAAAGGTTAATTCCCTTTTTAACAAGGGCCTATCACTGGATCATCCTCAAGTCAGTTGAATCCAGCCCCATTTACATATTCCATTTCTTTAAGACCTAATTGAATTTGGTCTCAGAACTTTATTACTGTGAGGCACCTTTGAGGAGGGGAAGTGAAGGGAAACAGGACAGCAGAGTAACTCTTATGAGCCACTACAATGCAGAAACCAGCTGTAGCAGTGAACTGAACTGTCCCCTCACATCTGCTGTAAGAGATTCTGGACTTGTCCTTTCCACATATGAAACCTGTCTTCCACACATGTGCCATAACATTTTACTCGAGCTCTACCATCAGTTCTCAAGTGTGTGTACATTTTATTCTCCCATATGTGCTGTATCCAGCACATCTGATTTTTACTATTTTTAACCCTGATAGTAATTGGTGAAGAGTATACAGTATGTCATTTTCTCCAGCCTACTGTATTATTTCCCATGCCCAAATATTTGTCTTATTTTCAAATTTCACAACTATATCCATATATGTACAGGTGTCTCACTATTATGTGTCATTTTACTGGATGATTTTTGGACATCAGAATAAGTAAAAGAGTTCATATGAATATGTACACCGAAGGCCTTCCTCAAGTTACAGCTATTCTGATATCACTGTCCATTGTCACACCTTAAATACTTAACAAGTTAAATGATTTGTGTAAAAGAAAACAAAAGACCTAACTCCCAGCAAGTGGTGGTTGCTCGGTCAGTATAGTTCGCTTGCGGACTTGAGCCACGGAGTTCGGTTTTTTTAGGTGCTTGCAATTGGCTACATGTTAATGTACACAGAGCTCCTTTCTACTATGGACTGAACTGGCACAGACCTTGGGTTTCAAATATTCCCACACAAAATTGAGCTGATTCAAGTTGGGTGTGCATGTAGGCCAGGAAACTGAAGCTCCACACCCACAACCAATCAAGTGTCCAGGATCATTCTTACAGCCACTGATACACTTTTATGACGTGTAGCATTGTAACATGTGAAGATGCATGTTATAGTTCACAAATGTTAGAAGTGAGGTAATTGTTGCCACTAATGTGATGGTCTATGAGGCATCATGTGTCACAAAATGCACTCCAAACATCTTTTTTTTTTTTTTTTCAAAATATGACAAGCTGACGTTTTCTAGTGGTTGGAACCTTTTAAAGATTACCCTCATGGTGTATATTCACACAAACGTTCTTTAATTATTCTGATATCCAGAATCATCCTGTAAAACATGGCATGAACTTGAGATCCTACATATTACCTGAATCTTTAAGCATGATTTACATCAAACTACTACTCCAGAATCCAAATGACTGCAGATTACTGTTACATGGTACCTAGAACTGCCACACAGTGAGGGTTTAACCTCTTGGCATCAACTTTCAGTGTTCACAGTAATAGGTAAAGTTATCCCGGTGCTTAACTAATTAAGCACTATGCCATTTTACATATGTGATAGAAAGGACATCATGTGATGGAGGGACATCTACGTAGGCCACTTAGAGAGAGATTAAGAATACCAGGCATCTAGAAGGGCACCAATCTGCAGTGAACATTACACTAGCTATCCATATCATTATTCTAAGGCCACGCCATAGCTTAAGCGATTAGTCACTGGCTTCCCACCACTGCGATCTGGGCAAGTGGGATTTGTGATGGACAAAGTGGCGCTGGGGCAGGTTTCCTCCGAGTACTTCGGTTTCCCCTGCCAATCTTCATTCCATCAAATTCTCCACAAATAAGAATATCTAACTAATTCTAAATTGTAATCAACTGTAAACAATTGTAAATTTTAATCTTACTCATATATTAAATTGTTAATATTCAGAATTAACTTGACTTGTCCTATATCATGTACAATGATCTTAAGTGACGAAATAAATCAATCAATCAATCATGAAGGCATACGGGGGAATGGATGTAGAGATCCACATTTTCTTGACCTCAGCACTAACTGGAGGTGAATACAATTAACAATTTATATCACAGCTTTCAAAGCTTGACTCAGTTCTGCATGTACTGGAAGTTTTTATAGTGTTCAGATTGACACTAGCAAATACCAGTGTTTCGGAGGAACATACATTCTCCTTAAGGGTTGATATGTTGAGGTTGGATTGGCCCAGGTGTAAAAAGTGGTGGCTGAGTCCAAAGGAGGAGGTATATAAAATGAGCTTGAACTCAGCCATTGGGAATGGTGTATAGGAAAACAACCCCTTTAAAGGACATGCTGTTTTTTTTGTCACAAGTGGGAAATTGATTTGTGTACATATATATAGAATGGGTTAAGAATAATAGCTTTTTGCAGTGCAGCCAGTGGATGCAGCCATTTTTTGTTTCTTTCATCCAGTATAAAACACCAAACTTGTCACACATTTTCCCATCAACTTTCAATCCTGATGCTAAAACACCATGGGAATACTGGCAGACATGTTTTTAGAGGAAAAGAAAGTACTGGACATAGCCAAGTTGTTATAAAAAATTTCCATCTATAAACAATAGTTTGCAGGTATAACCATATCAAGCATCTGGGCATGTTAACCATCTTTTCTCATAAAATCCACCTTCTTGCCCTTTCACAAAGGAAAAACAGGCTACACAGGATTCACACACCAAGAGTCAGTAATAAAAATATAATTTGACCTTCATAAAAGCATAGGTTACCTTATTTGGGAGTAGAGATACATACTGTGACTTAAAAAGTACAATCTTCACAATGAACAAAATAACAATATTTGTAATTTTCATATTTTATTGAGAAAAGGAAAAACAAACAGTACACAAACTCTTGTAACTGAAACTGTTTGGAATATTCATTCAGTCATACTGTTCATGATTAAGCACTTTCATAGAAAAGGCTGAAAACACTCTATCCATATTCATACAACTGATAAATCCTGATAATGTAACAAAGGGATAATATGAAAAATGCTTTTAATATTCCTGTGATTGTGATTTGGATTTTCCACCCTTGCTTGGGACAGGAGCTTGGCCAGTCTTTTTGGGTAACAGCACAGCCTGGATATTTGGTAACACTCCACCCTGGGCAATGGTTACTCCAGACAATAATTTATTAAGTTCTTCATCATTGCGAATGGCAAGCTGAAGATGGCGTGGTATAATCCTGGTAACAGAAAACATGGCAAGGTACTGTTAAAAAGAGAAAGGTGATAGGTCACTCATTATACGAAGCCTCAGACAAGATGGATATTTGAGGCTCATTAGGGAAAATTCCAAATTATGAGTATGAGGGGTGAGCCATAAAAACCGACCCTCACACTGCTACCTTCAATGGTCTATTGTGCTTCCCCTTTGGATTAACCCTTTATTAATCCTACACTTCGAATGAAATGTAGGACTTTGTTTATGGGGGCGCCACAAAAGTCACTTAGTTTAATGAAGAACTGACCCAGGGGGTGATATCTCAGGTAAGCTATAGCCTCACAATCACATAAGATGTGTGTGGCTGATTCATCTTCTTGTAGGCACTTTTCACAAGTTGGGTCCTCTGTCAAATTCCAAATTAAGTTCAGCTTTAGATTGCTCAACAGCTGCACTGGGCTTTAAATGACAACAGTTGTTCTCAAATTAATCTGTCTTAACAACCTGTGATGATACCACAAATATGTAAAGGTAAGGTAAAACTATCCTTGTAGGAGGCAGTGGAGACCCATACGGTTGGCAGACGTTGAGGCTCCCATATTTTCTAGACAATTGGCTCACAGATGGCGGTGAGCTTGTCAGCCTTACATGCCAGCCACCCTTTACCTCCCATAAGATTCCTGGTACTCATTTCTGAATGGACTCAAGGGCCACAGTGTGGCTGGAAGGATTAGGTCAATTGAAAAAATTCAACGATCCCATTGGGAATTGTACCCACAACCTCCCAGCTTGTACCATAGTGGCTCAACCATGCTACCATGTGCCCCACCACAAATACATACAAATTTTCAATCTAAACATGCAGACACAGTCTATGCACAAAGAATGCTTCTTATGCTTGTAGATATGGTCCAGAGAACTTCTACCCATGAATCAAGCATTAAACAAGAACACCACTGGGGCCCAAAACAGCAGAATGCATGCAAAATAATGACATAGCAAAAGCTTTTTTTATAAACCTTCTCTAGTCTCACTAACCCAAAAAGGAATATATGCAACTATATAAAAAATTCTTATCCTTAATTTTTGTGGCACATAGTAGAAGGAAAAAATGTTCACCTATAGCACAAATTAATGAAATCTCAAAACATCAAATTAAAAGAAAATATAATCTGAATGTCTTACAGTGCAATGAAAATTAACAAGGGAAAATAACTACATTCACCTACTAAATAATCTCCTCAGGATTTTTACTGCAAATACACAAATTACGTGCTCCAGAAAGTAAATCTAATACTTCACATATTAAAAAAAAGAACCAGAATATGAACTTGCATATGGTACATCCCCATACCAGAACAAATTTATCACTTCAGATTAAACACTGTCAAACCATACCTCGTTTTCTTATTGTCTCTTGCAGCATTTCCTGCCAATTCCAAAACTTCAGCAGCCAAATATTCCATAACAGCTGCCAAATAAACTGGTGCACCAGCACCTACTCGTTCTGCATAATTCCCCTTCCGTAGCAATCTATGGATTCTCCCAACAGGAAATTGAAGCCCAGCACGACTGGAGCGGGACTTCGCCTTTCCCTTTGATTTACCTATGCATTTAAAAAATGCACTTTAAAAATGCTTTTCTAGGATTTCGGCTGTTATACACAGTAGCACCCATCTGCCTCCCTTTCTGGAATTTTTAAACGAATCCTCGGAAAGAGCCAGGCACTCCTCCCCAGGAATATTTTGAAAACCCAAATTAAAAGAACGAAATACACAAAACAGTGATATTACCCTTCTACCCTGAATACAAATGGCGGCCCGTGAAAATATTTTTCAGCACCTTAAACACAAGTTATTTGTTTGAAAATTCTTTGGCCGTCCCCTTTGGAAAGTCTTGGGGCCGCGCTCTACAAACCATTGCTTAATTCTGCCATAATCAAGTTGTATTAATTTAACTTACCACCTTTTCCTCGACCAGACATCTTACGAATTTAATAAATGCTGTAGTGAAGAAAATCAAAACTTCTGTAAGCTCTTAACTTGCTGACGCTACAACACTCAAATATCCAGCAGCAGCTCCTTTTCCGCGGGAAAGAGCACTCGCAGCCCTCGCAGCACGAATCTCTAACCAACTGCGGTCAGAAGTCGGTTAAATATTCAGCCAATGACATTCAAGCACAATTCAAAGCATGTTTATGAATTCGCCAACCAGATAATGAACTGTGATTGTCCTGCTCCCTGCTGGTAGGCACTTTTCGAAAGAATCGACTCCGCAAGTGATTCTACTAATCGATTCTATCGAACAATGTCGTAAATGTACGTACACGTCATCTACGTCATTCTATGTAGATTCAATGAAATAGCAATTGCTTGGTGTGAGAGGAGGTTATTATAAACATGGTGACATTAAGAGAAAAACAGATAGGTAAGAAATTATTGCAGCAAAAATTTTAACAAGACGTTGTACTTTAAGCAATTCATTACCTATTTAATAATTTCATATGTGAATTAGCAAGAAAATCAACATAACCTTACCTGTCAGGAATGTCTCATGTCTCTTACATATGTTTACAAGATTTCTTTGTGACAGGTGCATTGAAACAAATGCTGAATCTTAATCAGCCACAGACTAAAACATTAGCAGGAGAACCAGTGTGGAAGATATTAATTTATGATCGCTGTGGTCAAGATATTATATCTCCATTGGTTTCAATTAAAGAGCTGCGAGAACTGGGAGTAACATTACACGTGTAAGTAAGATTTCAGAAATTCAGTTGTGCTGCAGTAAGCCTTGCACATTATTAATTGTACAAATCAGTGTCACTGAGATCCATATTGTTTACAGACAACTTCATTCAGACCGAGATCCAATCCCTGATGTCCCAGCAGTGTATTTCTGTCTTCCAACAGAAGAAAATTTGGGTCGTATTGGACAGGACTTACAGAATAATCTGTATGATACTTACCATCTAAATTTCATCTCTCCCATATCAAGACAGAGGCTTGAAGATTTGGCAGCTGCAGCACTGCAAGCAAATTGTGTGTCACAGATACAGAAGGTAATAGTTTTTAGTTTTTGTATAATGCAGAGTGTAGTGATGACACTGTAATTTATATTGAACAGACTTGCTTGAATCCTGATGTCTTTTAAGCACATTTATTAGCTGTCTAAAGCTGATGATAATTAATATTATCTAGTTATCATTATGCAATTAAGCAGTGTAAAAGTGTCATTATATTCTATAAGGTGTAATACAAGGGGATTATTAGTCTGACAGACAGTGGGTTTCTAATCTTACCAGCATACTATAAAAATTTGCTTTAACTCCATGATAGACTGAAGGAGGCCTCATAACTCAAGGTTGAAAGTTACAGAAAAGCGGTAGACACTGTGAGATCTGAGGTGAATATGAAGGAGATTGTCTTTTGGAATGTGATGCTATATGTTTGCTAGATAGTTAACCAGTGTTTTTAAGTGGCCTCCGTAGTCTAGGGGTAACGTTCCCACCTCATGACTCAAGGTATGCGGGTTCAAATCTGGCGGAAGTCGTGGAATTTTTAAGGGCGGAAAAATTCAGGGAACAAGTCCTCCGGGGGGGGACTTTAAGCTGTGGGTCCCGTGTCATAGATTTACGGCACGTAAAAGATCCTCATGTCTCTAGGAGACCTCTGAGCTAAATTAGGCAGAAAGTTCCTGCCCAAGTAGTTTCCAGTGCCTCTGATAGATGGGGGAAGTATCAGGTACCGAGGATACCTCGTTGGCTGAATGGGGCTGATAGCACGCACCAGTACCGGTAGGGTATGGCAACTGGTAGAATATCAAAGGGGGACGTGCAATAGACTATTAGTTGCGGTGCATGGGGAAACCCACCCCCTCTAATAATAATAATAATAATAATAATAATAATAATAATAATAATAACCAGTGTTTTGGAGGAATCTGCTGCCCCCATCTTTACAACACCTTGCCTTGAAAAGGAACAACAAATACATAAATATGGCATATATAGTTGGTCAAACACTTTTCTGTCTGCTACATGAATGAAACAGGATATTCATACGTTTACCTGTTTGTCCCTAGATACCATGGTGATCCAATTCTGACACAATTAGATACGTTATTAGTAAAATTATGTTATGATAATGTTGTTAGACAATAACAAACCCAAAAGAAATATTTTTCAAAAGACACATTTCTTTGTTTTTATGTCTGTCATTGGTTCTGTTAAATGGAATATAAAAGTAATACGCAAATCACTGACCCACCGTGAACTTTAATTTCAGGGTGATTTCTTGACAACTAAAAGAATGTTATTATTTTATTAACCTATTGTGGAAACAGTGTTTTTGTTCAGCTACAGATGTTTAGGCCTCACTCAGGATGGGCTTGGCTCTTTCAACGGGATCAAGTATGGACAATGGACTCAGTAGTCGTCTGAGTTCTTGGGATCACAGAACATTGTCCCATCTAAGTCAGTACAGATATGAATAAGAAGTGTGTATAGACTGTGATGCTTCTGATAATTTTCAGCAAAGTATGAATATCTGTTTGTGTATAAACAAATCTAATAGTGGGATACTTTATGAGGTCACATTCACATTATCTCCACTTAACCTGTTCAGTATTAAATTTTTCTGTCACAGATTTACCTAATATGCCATTTTTGGGGAACCTAACCTCACATATGACAAGGGTTTACTTTATATGGTTGATTACACAGCACTCTATATGACATATACGAGTATTTATACATGTATGTAAGATTTGAGGCTTTCACAGCGGTGACTATGAAGAAAACAGTCTTCTGGGATTTGGCACCGTGTATATGTGGTGTTAACCGACGTTTCGGAGGAATGTATCGCCTCCATCTTCAGGGTATATTTCCACACAGTCTGCTTTTACCGGTTCTCACGGTCTCTTCGCTTGCAGATTTCTTATATTTTTTCTTCTACCCTGAAGATGGAGGCGATACGTTCCTCCGAAACGTCGGTTAACACCACATATACACGATGCCAAATCCCAGAAGACTGCTTTCTTCATTTATACATGTATATTGTGATTTTCATTAAAAGTGCACAAGTTATCAGCAGTTGTGGACCTAAAAAGATAAGCTGTACTAATATATGTCTGTTATTTATAGGTTTTTGATCAGTACCTGAATTTCATTTCCTTGGAGGATGATATGTTTATCCTGAAACATCAAAATAGTGAAGCCATCTCATATTATGGTTAGTTGCACCTGAATAATAAGTGATAATATGAATAAAAGTGCTGATGACATGCAGACAAGGCAATACATGGAGAGTTTTGACAGGATCTGACTCAATTTCCCACATAAGCATTTAATTCATGTATGTCACTTGTAATTGGTCATGATATGTTAGCCAGTAAAGTGAATAACTAAGCAAGTTGGCCCAAGCAGGAAGACTTTTCACTTGTATTCAGAAGTTGCCTCGTTTGATTTGCAAATGGTACACTGACTATCTGGGCTGAGGATTTTCGTGGTTCTCCTCAGTCCCTCTAGGAAATTTCCAGGATACTGCTACAATTTATGTCATGATCACTTCCTTCCAAATCCTTTCCAACTCATTGTTTGTGAAGCTGACCAGTCACGTTTTGTCCTTCTGATTTTCTTCTCTGATGTATTCAAAGATCGTAAATGTGTCATCTGTACCATCCCCATCTGGGAAGTAAGCAGCTGAACATAATTATTTTTGTGTGTTAATGCTGTGTACAAGATGTTGTTCTGTGTGTTTAATTGATATAAGATACATATTTTTGTCATCATTTGTTTCAGCAATAAACCGGGGTGAAATTAAGGACACAGAAATGGAGACCATTATGGACACAATAGTTGACAGCTTATTCTCAGTATTTGCAACATTAGGTATGTATTTTCTTTATCTAGTATTAACCTGTCCATTGGAGACTTACAAGTAGAAATGATTCATACCATGTCCTGGGCGAAGAAAGAGCAACGTCATACCTCATGGCCTGTATACCATAATGGAATTTGTTTGCATGCTTCAGGTAGTGTTCACTATTATATACAGAAGTTATGTAAATTAATTTATTGATCTTGATTCTGTAATTTTGACAGGAATTTATAGCATGTTGTATAGAAATTCATATGGTTGGAATGTGGTGAGAGTTGTAGTAAAGTAAGGAAGTCCATGAAATTTCAGAATGCCTCCCTGGCACATGTGGGATCACTGCTCTATTGTGTCATATAAACATATAACTGTTAAATTAAGCTGTAGAAGGCCATTTTATTTTTAGGCATAATAATACAAGAATGGTGGATAGTTTGCTTGGATATGTATATATATATATATTGTAGCACAAACTAATTCCTACAAAATCTTCACCTTGAAGTGGCTGATATATCTGTATGATACATTTCTTTAAACATCTTATTACAGTGAATTGTTAGCTATATCAATTCTACTTACAAGAAGCAGCAATTAATATTATAGTTTCTGGGATATGATGCTGTACAGTTTGGTAGATAGGTATCAGCGTTTTTGAGGAAACTGTTGCCTTCATCTTCAGTATAGAAGAATGAGTTACTTTACTACCCTAAAGATGGGAGCATCATATTACTCCAAAACATTTGTGCGTAGCCGCAAAACATATGGTGTAACATCCCAGAAGACTGCAATTTTAATTTTCATTACCATGGAAACTAGTCTCACAAGAAGCAGCAACTGTAGTGAAATGAAGGAAAGGTATTTGGAAGGAAACTGTAAAGTGACAGTTGAGTGAAGCCAACCATTGTAATTAATAACAAGCCGTTATGTAACAAAGGAGACTACACATTCTATAAGAAAGGTTTGTGGGCCACATGCATCCTCTTTAAGATCCAATTTTTCAGGTACTGTTCCGGTGATTAGGAGTCCTCGTGGTAATGCTGCTGAGATGGTTGCAGAGAAACTGGACAAAAAATTACGTGAGAATCTGAGAGACACTCGTAACAGCCTGTTCCTCATGGATGCTGCATCTCAAAGTGGGGGGCATTTTAATTTTCAGCGGCCAGTACTTATTGTCCTGGATCGCAATGTTGATATGGCAACACCCCTTCATCACACATGGACATACCAGGTACAACCAAGAAGACCATACATAATCTGAACACACCACCACAAAAATGTCAAGTCTGTTATATAGGATTTGAGGTTCTCACAGCAGTGTTTGTGAAGAGTACTGTCTTCTGGTATATAATGCTGTGTAGTCTGTTGAAAGTAAACTGATGTTTCGGAGGACAAATATCGCCTCCATCTTCAGGGTTGAAGATCAAGCTGAGCAAGAAACCAGCTTGAAAGCAGGTGACAAGCAGACCAGACGATGACACCTAACAGTGACTTACTCTTTGACACTGAATTTGGAGACGATATGTGTGTTCCTAATCATTGGCTGACTTTCACGGGACTACATGGTATTATATCCCAGAATATAGTGGTCTTCTATTTGTGGGCACTTTGTCTATTAAATATTCCTCAGTAAGTAGACAATGTTCAACATTTTTGCAGGTTAATGAATTAAAGATTTTCATAAATTATTTTGGAGATATTAATATCATATAAGAAACATGCAGGAGTGGAATAATAGAAATTATTTGCTTCTTGTTCAGTTGTGTGTCCTTAAAATGTTATCCCATTGGCCTGTTTAATTTTCCAGTAATCTGCAAGTCAGTGAATGGAATGTTGAATTAATGTTACCAGAACTCTTAGGCTAAGGGCACACGAAAGAAACTGGCAACCACAACGGAACCATGATTTCCAAGAATTGTTATCAGTCTGAGTTGAACACATGTTCGTGAATGGAGCAGCGCAAATTGAGGAAACGGCAACGCAGCATGCAAGAAAACTGAGAAACTCAGTTTCCAGGCAACGGAACATGACAATCTTCTCACAGTTGCGTTGCCCTGTGGTTTCCTAGTATGAGCTGTTTTGTAACACCCTTCAGTGATACATTGTCTGTTAAGATGGCCCAAAATGTTGACAAGGTTGCTAATTTTGTTCCTGTGCAGTTAATTGAGCAAGAGCATGTCATGTGTGACAAATGCCACCCAGACTACGCTAGGCGGGACAAAATAGATTTGGCTTGGGAAAAGATTTCTCATGAGATGAAAGTGTCTGGTATGTGTGTATATGTGTGTGTGTATATATATATATATATATATATGTTATAGGGGGGCACAGTACCATGGTTGAGGCACTATGCTACTAACCGGGAGGTCGCAGGTTCAAGTCCCGATGAGGTCATTGGATTTTTTCAGTTGACCTAATCCTTCCAGCCTCACTATGACCCTGGGGTTGACTCAGCTTCTACCAGAAATCAGTACCAGGAATTAATTAAATAATTTTCCTGGGGAGTAAAGCACGGTTGGTGCATAAGGCTGACAACCTTACCGCCATCTTTGAGCTGATTGTCTAGATAATGTGGACCCTCAATGTCTCACAACCCTATGGGCCTTCATGGCCTGTTACAGGGATACCTTTACTTTTTTTTTATATATGTTACAACGAGAACTTATAATATGATCAAAATACAGAATATGTCTGCTAAAACAATGTAGACAAGTACTACAGTATGACCCGTGCTTTGTGATACAAGTCAGCATTTGGGTTGGTCCTCGTCCTTTACAATTGTCAGCCACATTTAATTAATATAACTCACTGAGATGGAATTGCTCCTGCTAGTGATAATAAGTAATCAGCCAGCTGATTTCAAAGGCGTTGTGTTCTTGACAATTTTTGCCTTCTATCATCATTTTGATTATAGCAAACAGTGTAAAGAAAAAGACGTTTAGCAGTGGTATTGTATTTGTTTTGATACTGCAGAATTTGGATGTCAATAAAAAAATAAACCTTCCTTACCCCAGAGTAATCAGTAGTATTTCTTCTCCTGACACAGCTGCATGGAAATTTGTCTTCGAATTTGAGGTCCAACAAGATCCACTAATAAGGAAAAACTTCTAGTGCCCATTCTGTAAAATGATTTGAACAGTTCTCGATCCTGATTAAGTTCTTTTGAAATATTATAAGCACCTGAGTTTAAATTGTCACGAAAGAAGGGATGCACCCAGTGTTTCCTTTTCTCTTCTTATGCCATCATAACCACTAGCAAAGCATTACAGGATCAGTATTATTATCTGACATTGCAGACGAGAAGTACACAAAATTGGCAGGCAAACACACCCACTTGAGATGATGTGAGCAACTAATTGAACATAAGTTTCCTTGGTGTGCACCTCCTAACCTGGAAATCAGTTGCCTGCTTGAAATTGGCGACATTTCTCAGAAATCGTGGTTGCCAGTTTCCTTGATGTACCCTCGGCCTTATATCTCTTCAAAGACAGATTGTTGACATGTCTGAAATGAACCTTAGAGGTGGTTGTTTGGGAACTAGAAAAGATTGTGTTATGGACAATGATTAAATTTTAATGTATGAAGTTTTATGACTGATATGTAAAGACAGTATCCACTACAGCAGTGGAACATAACTGTTATAAAGTGAACAAAGCACATATAGCATGGATTGAAGGAAGTAAACTGAAATTAAAGTGGGGAATATAGAAAGAGCCCTCTTGAAAGATTAATATATAGGCAGAAAGATAATATTGGGATATCTTGCAGAAACTCAGAATAGGAACAAGTGCTGGGATTTTATTTCAGCTGTGATAAACAGTTAAGCTTTGTATATCTCCTGTAAATGAAGTTAAAAATCAGCCAAAGACATGTCTTTGGGATTAGAAAGAAACCAGATTTTTAGTAGCCATGCAAATAATCTATCATTATTAATGCTTATGACAAGTCTTTGCTCTAAATGTATTGTTCAGAGAAGACACAAGCAAAGACACCTCAAAATGAAGCCTTTTCAGGGGTTCCCTTAGTAAGGTTCACTTCAGGTATTACTCTTAACCTGTTATACGATACTGTTGTCTCTTGCAGGCATTAGCACATGATGTTTTGGATTTGACTCTTAATCGAGTAGTGGTTGAAGAGAATGTAGGTCGTTCTCCAGCCGGTGGTGCCAAAATGAAAACTCGTGCCTGTGACCTGGATTCACGAGACAGGTTCTGGATGGCCCACAAAGGTAGTCCATTTCCCACTGTAGCAGAAGCTATACAGGAAGAGTTGGAACAGTACAGATCATCAGAAGAGGAAGTGAAGAGACTGAAAGCATCAATGGTGGGTGACATGTTACCATTTCACATTTGCGTATGCCCTGCCCTCTGTTATTGTGGGATTGTAAGACATAATTTTTGCTGCTGTGTATATTAGCAGTCAGTTTGTAGTGGTTATGAATAGGAGCACTAGGTGGCAGCAATAAACTGCACTAGCTTAAATTAATATTGCAAAGTCCACCTTTGCCAGAAGAGTTCTTCCTTTGCCTCCAGACAGAAGAACCACTTAATTCATGTTGCTATTTTATCAAATCTTTCAATATAGCTGTCTTTCCCGAACCCTTCAAGTTATAGAGATTTAGCATTTTTGTTACAGAGTTCGTTTATATGGACACACATGCTACATGTGTACAGAAATTGTTTTTCATTGAGTAAATTTTATATTTCAAATAAAATAATGATGTTGATAACCACAGTAATTTCCTGCTGAAATTCATTGGACTTCTTTATAGTGTAAAATACAAAAAGTCAATAATTAAGTTACAAATGGATGTAGAACTTAAACAAATAAGAGTAGTGATTTCAAAAATGCTTTTATTTCTCAACGTAATCTCCCTGTACATTCAGGCACTTGTCCCATTGTTTCACAAGCCCCCTGAAAACCAACAGCATAAAATTCTTTGGGCTGCTCTCGGAACCAGGTGATGACTGGGATCATGAAGGCATACTGCTCACGGCATTCCAGCCTCAAGGACAAACCGTAAATGCTGACTCCTACTGTAACATCCTTGGGAAACTTCGTAAGGCCATTCAGTGGAAGCGACCAAGACTCCTCACCAAAAGCGCGTTGCTCTTTCATGAAAACATGCGTCCCCATACTGCCAACAAGACAAATGAGACGCTGCAAAATTTCAAGTTGGAAGTCCTTGATCATCCTCCATATAGCCCCGACCTTGTTCCAAGCGATTTCCATTTGTTTGGCCCTCTGAAACATCTCTCGACTGAACATTTTCCCGACAATGAAGCTGTAGAAAGGGAAGTCACCAAGTGGTTCCGACAGCAGCCCAAAGAATTTTATGCTGCTGGTTTTCAGGGGCTTGCAAAAGGATGGGACAAGTGCCTCAATGTACAGGGAGATTATGTTGAGAAATGAAAGCATTTTTCAAATCAGTACTCTTTATTTGTTTAAGTTCTATATCCATTTGTAACTTACTTATTGACTTACCCTCGCATGTACACTTTTCTTTATATAGTGTGGTATGGGAGTTGGTAACTGCTTGAAATTTATAAACCCATAGTCAGACTCTTTTCAGAAATGTTGTAGTACGAGTATAACAGTGTGTCCATTTTATTGTTCATTTTTCATAAGAATGAAAATTGATTGGAAGAAGTTGTTGTTTTTGTGATGAATGTGTTGTTGTTTTTGTGATGAATGTGTTATTACAACTGTTTTTTCATGCAAAGTACTCTTCATGATGTGACCACTGTTAGCACACTGTTTGAAAACAAACATTATTAGCTACAGCCTATGGGATAACACTAAAAGGACCATTGGGTACAGTAGAGTCTGCCAAGTCGTTACTGATAATTTCCACCCTTTGGATCTGTTTTAAATGTTTATTTACATTTTAAAGTATACATTGCAAAGTGAAAGTTATATATTATGTCTTCAATTTTTAGCACGATTTTTATGCTGCTGTACTTATATAATGATACCAGGTGTGTTCAGTCTGTCCACTACTATTATATTCTACAAATTTTAAACATTTACAAGCCAGGATAGCTCAGTCGGTATTGTGACTGAGCTACAGGCTGGGCAGCTGTGGAATTTGGGTTTGGTTCCCAGTAGTGGCAAGAGATAATATCCAGACTGGCTCAGGGGGCTACCCAGCCTCCTATACAATGGGTACCGGGAGCTGCTGTTTCTCCGGGGTATAGCAGCAGGGGCGTGAAGCTGACCACTCACCTACATCTAGTTGCGGAGGTTAAGAATGGTGGAACTATGCCTCCACCCCCATACGTCTTCATGGCATGGTGCTTAATAGGTTATGCCCAGAGATAATTTTTCTTTCTTATGCTCTAATATTATTGTCATATGTAGGATGATACATGTGATGAAACAATGGGTTCTAGTTTGGATGATTGGATTTATTAACACTTTGATTATGCACACACTCATAATCACACTTAAATACAGGCAGTACAGCGCTATTGCTGATTTATGCACTTTTGCAGTTCACGGTTGCACACGCACTAGGATTCCGTCTTCCACTAGTTGGCTCCTAGCAACAGGTCTCAACACAAAACTATCACTTCAAATCACTACAAATGTTACACAAAAAATCTTCCAGTCACACTTTACATCCTCACAGACCAACCTCCTGTATTCTTCTGCGATCCTGGCTCCAATTCACGTGGTTCCACCACTACTATTTCTCTCTTGTAACTGACTCAGAGAGCGCACTCCAAGAATGACTAACTGAACCATGACACTCACTTATATAGCTGAGGGACAGACAACACATCATCATAAACAAATGTCACGTGATAGCTACCCACTGTTGTTGTCTGATGTCACCGGCCGCACAGGAAACATGTCACATGACAGCCACATACTGTCGTGTCGTCGCAGCAGGCGTGTTGCATAGTAACATCCCATCAGCAAACATAGAAAACCCTGTTCCTATACTGTTGGCCACATTTGTGTTGCGGGCGTTATCTAGCAATGGGTCTACACGCCACATTATGTTCATATAATTAAAACTCTGAAAGTAATTATTTCTCTTCTGATAGGGGATTGACAATGAGAGTGATGCAGCATTTTCCATGGTAACAGACAACACTGCTCGTCTCACATCAGCTGTCAATTCTCTGCCTCAGCTTCTCGATAAGAAGAGACTTATTGACATGCATACGACTGTTGCATCTGGTGAAATACACTTTTATTTTTTCATGTAGTTTTTACAAACAAAATTATAACAAGTCTTATTTTGCTAAAATTATAGGATCATAAGAATCACATAGGTTGAAAGAAACTCTTAATTTTGTCTTTGGGCTTAATGTTTTATACACATATTTCAGTTTTGAAGGCAAAAATTTGACATTATATATGTGGCTACCCCTCCTAATCTTCATACATTTCTTGTCAATTCAGAACAATCCATTATGCTACCACTATTCAAGGATTTCATCAACCACAATATTAAGCCATAGAAGAGATTGTTGAATTTGTTTAAAATTTGAAGAAGGATTTGTTTAAACTTAAAAAAAATTTAGTTTTGAAGGGATTTATTTTTCAGTTGATGTCTTATAGGCTTTCTCACCATTTAGTGTTTAACCCTGAAGAAGGAAGGACCATGTTCCTCTGAAACATTGGTCTCTGCATACTGGACTATATGATATTAAACCAGGCAGACCAGTCTGAAAACTTAAAGCAGTTTACTTCTGTTCTGAAATGTTTTCATTTATGTATGGGGTCAGTGATTGTTTTCATGGCAGTGAAGATTCATATTGTGGTCTTCTGGTTATGGCACCATGCAGTGTGCAGCGTAGGTATCAGTGTTTCAGAAGGGCATACTGCCTAGAGGTGGACAATTAATTAACACATTCAGGACTGGGGGGGCCAATTGGCCCTCTACGTTTCTATAGCATTGCAGACCGGGCGGGCCAATTGGCCCTTTTCTGACATGTTATATTGCAACTGACTATATCTCGTTGTGTGGCCACGTTGCATCATAACTACTGCGTAGTTGACCTCAGGAATGTTTGCTAGCTTAGCCAGTAACATGATCGCGCTCATTTCCTGTCACACCCTAAAGAAAAACAACCGGTCTGCAATGTGTTAATTTTAATATTCTGAGTGTAAAGAAGTAAATATATTGTTTTTGTAGATGTAAAGCAGGGCAGTTACGACTAGTAGACTGTCAAATGTAAATTTCTGCTGTTGCTAGCTTTGTGTTATTACTTTACTTTAATATGTATTGATGTTCTTCTGTTATCATGCCATATTAAAATGTAGAGGAGTCCCTGATATTAAGTTCTGTAGCCCAGAAACTTAAGGGGACATGAATCATAAAAATATGTGAATTGTGCAGCTGTAAAAACCAAATGAGCCAAGAATGAGAGATTACTGACATATGAATCCTAGCTGCCATACCAGCCATTGACAGAACTCTAACCATTAATGATTCTATCTGAACATTTATTAATGTTCATGTGTACCAAGGAATGGTTTGTCAGTATGTCATGTGTTTTATTTTAATAGCAATCCTGAATTATATCAAATCTCGTAGACTGGACACACTGTTTGAGTTTGAGGAGAAGGTGATGAGTAAAGCTGCCAACCTGGACCGCAGCATCATGGAGCTTCTAACAGATTCAGATGCTGGTAACCCAGAAGACAAGATGAGACTGTTTCTAATTTTCTATATATGTTCACATTCTGTGTCAAAGGTATGAACTGTATGTTTTATTATAATTATTATATTTTAACATAAAGTAGAGGATGTACAAGTTTATGGGCATAAAAACTGAGGCAGTCAAATGATAATTTCATGTCTTGTCCATAGTTAATTTTCTTGTATACATACAAAAGTAAGGGGCACGCGGTAGCATAGTTGGTTGAGGCACTATGCTACAAGCCAGAAGGTTGCGGGTTCAAGTCCCGGTGAGATTATTGGATTTTTTCAGTTGACCTAATCCTTCAAGCTGCACTCTCTCTTTCCCTGCCTGTGTATCATATAAAGGGCGCTCAGCTACTGGTAACATAATCTGCTTGCAGTTAGGGTCGCCTGTTACAATGGGCCCCCATTTCATATTTCTCAGTTAAAAGGGTTCCCTCCTATATTATTAACATAGTCTATATAGCGACTGGTTACGTGCTGGATGACTGAGATGTTGGAGTTTGAGTCCGGGTAGGGTAAAGAATTTTCTCTTCTCCAAATCATCTAGACCAGCTCTGGGGTCCACAGAACCTCCTATCCAATGGGTACTGGGGCTCTGTCCCCGGGCATGAAGCGGCAGGGGTGTAGAGCTGACCACTCACCTCCATATAGTGCCGAGTTCAAGAAAATGTTGATCTATACAGCCACTCATACATATGCGTTCATGACATAGTGCTTAATTTGTTGAGCACAGGGACAACTTTACTTTTACCTTTATACTATTCAGTTTTAATTGTCCCAACCTTATTATCCCACTGTGGGGCACTTGACAGATATAAGAAAAATCCCTTTTAGTGAGACAGCGGTTTATATGGGACTTTAATAGCCAAGAAAGCAATATCCTTAAAACAAATATTGTTGTGATAAACAGACATTGACGTTTAATAGATGTGAATATGGGGACTATGTGGTAGGTGCTGGCATGCAAAGTGAACCAATGGAAGTGATGAAATAGATGATTGAAAACTTGTGTAGATGGCACACAAAACCATAGAAGGTAACGTGATGAAACTTAAGAGCTGTCTTTGCGTTCTTCCATCTGGACGTGGCCTGACCTACCTTCACCTGTGACTATCCTGAGTCATGAATCGTTAATATTGATGTCTCACCTATGCCTGAGTATCCAAAGTGGACTGCTTCCTTCATGTTTTTTAATCAGAATTCTTCATTTTCCATCCCTTCCATGTATGCAACCTGCTCTGTCCATCTAATCCTCCCTAATCCCTCAAGCTGGAATCCTGAGTATGTCCTTACTAGGCTGTGAGGTTCACTGACATTTAAAGACCACTGCAATGTAGCACTAGTGGGCGTTTAAATGCTGGCTTGAGGGGTTAATTTTGTTCACCCTATTAATATCAGATGAAAAATAAAAAATTACAAAACTCTTCTTGCAGTTCTTTCCTCACTTTTATGTACAATTAATTAACCTTTCTGTTTTTAGATAGTTGAGAAGACAAAAGGTTTGTTACTGAATGGCAGCAAATGTTCCCCAGTTTTGTCTTAATGTTTTTGTTATTTTGATTCATAACTGTTGTTCCCAAATATAGAACACCTATCTTTTTTGTCCTTATCCATAATTAAAACATTAAACTGGATACCTCCCACTTGCTGTGATTCTTGAATGTCATAGTCATGATACTTCTTTCATTTATTAATGATTAATGCCAAGATTTCACATTTTGCATGTTTTGTGGTTATAGGATGAGCTCGACCGCTATGCTACTGCTCTGCAAAATGCTGGTTGTGACCTTCAACCACTGTCTTATATCAAGAGGTGGAAGTAAGTATGGAATATGATGAAAACCGCACGTAAGGTTTATTTTGGGAATAGAAGATCTGAACATTATAAACATTTAAATTATTAACCTGGTATCATTGAAACTAAACAATAAATGAAAGAAAACCTAAAACATTAAATGGAGGCAATGTAAGAGTGGAGCTAAAGCTCTGAAATTATGCATAATTGGGTTACCAAAGCAAAGAGTTGTCAAGTTTTAACATGTTGCTTGAAGGTGAGTTATGTAGTAAGTGGGTGCAGCATTTTGTTTGTGTGTACCGTGTGTATACTGTGGGTACTAATAATATTGTGAAGTGGATATGTAAAGTAATATACTGTATAAAGTAAATTGTTTATGAACAAAGCAGTCTTCNTGTGATTGACTCTTTATGTGTTATTTGCAGGAGATGGCGTTAAACATCGACCTCAACGTATCATTCCATAACATGTAGGACTAGAAAGAACTATGAAATTGGGGGAAGTAGATGGTACAAAAACTTACATGACATATGATGAGACATATCAATGAATTATTTCCCTGTTTAAGAGAATAGTATTTGTTAAAATGAGAAATTTAGAAGTGCTTATATAAATACTCCTTTCTAAGTTAATATAATTTTTACATATATGTAACAAAGTGAAGACCTGTGTATCGGATTCTGTGGGTATAGTCATTAGGCATTCAACCATTATATTACAATTTTTTAAACTGAAAGGTTCCATCACCATTACAAGATCTTATGTTTTAGCTGTGTTCTGAGCTGGTTCACATCTTTGGAACCTGTTTCCTTAAGATTAATTGTAATACTGTCTTTCTAACTGTAGTTCTTTCAAGGGGTCTTTTCCTACAAGGTTTTGCAACTGAAGTTTGTACTATATCCTCTGTGTGTTCCTTTCATTCATGACAGTTAAACTAGCAAAATTTAATCACTGTGAGAATGCTGAGTAAACAGTACAATCTCTGAAGCCTCTCTTTGTGTAATTTTATACTTTTTTCTCATAGTTCATCTCATGTAGATCTGTACATTCTCCCAAACAGTGTTATTGATACTTGATATGTTCTTCCCTCACAGCAAAAGTGTTTGGCACCTATATGAAATGAATGCAGATATATGTATTTTAATATTTCTGTTATATGAAACAGTGTCATTTCAGCAATTTACAAAAATTGTTTCAGAGCATATGCCAAGATGGCGGCATCATCAAACCAGTATGTTGGAGGTGGAACCAAGACAGTCGGAATGTTCTCAAAGCTGGTTTCTCAGGGTTCATCCTTTGTTATGGAGGGGGTAAAGAACTTGGTTATCAAGAGACATGTGAGTAGTATATTTTGTTTTTGGATGTACAGCAATCATTGTATACACACACACATGCACGCATGCATGTACACATGCACTCACAAAGTATTGTGACGTGGATGGTGCAACGGAAAGTAGGGGTCACGTGAACTCTGCAGTCTTGCAAGTGACGTCACATACCCCCACTCCTTCCATCAGTGCACAACGCTCGGTAAACACCCCCTCCCCAGTGGTGACGTAACAGAGGAGCAACTGTGTGAGGCAACCAATGCCGCGGTGACATAACAAGGGATACTGCAGTTACCACAGCAGTTAACAACACAGTGCTGCTAGGCAACCTGTAAACACGGTGTCACGCAACAGCGGCACCTATCACGTAACTGTTTTCTGTGTTGTTCGTGCTGAGGCTGAATAAGGAGCAGCAAACACTATTCAGTAGTGAGGATTGAGCCAGTTACGAGTGAGTGAGTTACTAGTGAGTAATGATTAACCAGTCAGTTTCAATCTAGCAGTCGCCGAGTCGGGTTGTATAGAGTGAATGGCAGTGTCTACAGCAGGAGAAGTATTTGTGATACTGCCAATGGCAGGAATTGTGAAATTGTAAATTGTGTAATTGTGAGAGCGAGTGTTCAGTAAATTCACTATATCAAGGCGTGAAGTTATTTGTCACGTTATGCACCAAACATGTGACAGTATATATACAGGGGTTTTTATTTGTTTATGTCTTTACTTTTTTGGGGGGGGGGATCGTAGCGGGGTCCCCACTTAATGTTTCTTGATTTAATGTTCTGTTTCAGTTATAGGTCAAGATAAAGGTAAAAAAGTAAATAATAGTGTATCATAGCATCTGTTACTCATGACTTTTTTATTCCTCTTAGATGAGGTCATATCCTGAAAATCTAACTTACTGATGGAAGCACATCAGTTTCATCAGCAATTTTAAAGCCACCTGAAAATGGCCAATTTTGGTCAAAGCATGAAGTGTGCATACACCAGTGATGTAGAAGAGATTTTAACATTTAAAACTTTTAAAGGTTTAAAAGCAACTTGCATTTGAGACAGCTACAAACTAACAGGGATAAAAAAGTAATATTATCTCTGTACTTAATTATACATAATTAGGCACTATGCCATAAAGGCATGAGGAAGTGGAGGGATAGCTCCACCATTTATAACCTTGGCAATAGATGGAGGTGAGTTAGCTTCACATGCCTGCTGCTTTACCCCCAGGTACAGATCCCGAAGTACCAATTAGATAGGAAGCTGAGTGGGTCCCAGAGCCAGTCTGGACTTGTGGAGAGGAGAGAACCTCTTACCACTGCTGGGAACTAACCATCATCCAGCCCATAACTTAGTCGCCATACCAACTGAGATATCCCAGCTAATTCGATTTATGTGTCAAAAATGTGTTATGCTTCCCCTTTTCCTTCTCCCTGTTAACTGTTCAAATTAATAGTTTCCTAGACATGAAAGATAAGGCTAAAGTTGTATCTGTACTTAACTGAGCAAGTGTAACGCTATGAAGTTGCGTAGGAGAATGAGGTCTAATTCCTCCACTCGTTCTTATCACTGATACTAGACAAAACAAAGTCCAGTTCATGTTTAAACCATTTTATCCGTGGAGAAAAAGATCTTTATAGCTGGTCATTGGATGAGGTGGGCCCCAAAGTCAGTCTGGACATGATGATGAGAAAAATCCCTACCATTGCTGGAAATCAAACTGCAGTTGTCCATCTTAGAGCCAATAACAAGTACTATATAACTTTATTTTTCTGTCACAACACAACAACTAAGGGGTATCAAGGTCAATCCTTAGTTGTTGTGTTGTGAGGGAAAAATAAAGTTATATATTGTAACACAACAGGATGCATGAAATGAAGATAATAAGTACTATTTTTAGTCTTTCTCATATCCTTAATCCTACTGCTGTGATATTTGACAGAAGTAAAACAAGCCTCCATTGATGTTTTAGCATCCTTCTGCTCGTCGTTTAGTATCAAATGTTACTAGTTCCACTTTCCACCATTCGTAAAAAAACACACAGCACAACACAGCAGGAAGAACAACCCACCACTTGGAATATGCATGCACATAGAGGGAACCATACATTAAAAAAATTAATAACTGACTCTACAACAACAGAAGCAGAGCAGTTTTCCTCAACTGTAATTTTAAACAGCTGATGATGACCATAATGTTCAAAGTAGTGAAAAAACTTTAAAAAATTAAAAGGTATATGATGTGCTAAACTTTGAAAATGAATAAATAACTTTTAGTAAGTTTTATAGAATGATGTGTTGCATGTGCGATGGTAGAACCAGTAACATTTGATACTACGCATCCATTACCTTATAGTGCGACATGTTACTGCGTCAACATCAGAACATAATCTTATTTCGCTGCATAATTTGACTCCATTCACTGAGCTATGAAAATACATTTTTATTGCTCTTTCTCACATTTTTACCTCTAAAAAATTGCACTAGTTTATGAAAATGGTGAGTAAATAATATGCAGTGAAAGAGTGAAATTGTAATTTTACTGTAGATGAAAAAGTCAGAAGGTTTGTGTATTCTGTTACCATATTGATACGAAATTAACATTGCTCCATTTTCCCACTCATAGAATTTACCAGTGACAAGAATTGTTGATGAAATAATGGAAATGAAGACTTCACAAGAAACAGAGGATTATCGATATTTTGATCCCAAACAGCTGCGAGTAACAGACAGTTCCCAGATTCCCCGCAACCGGACTCCATTCCAAGAAGCTATTGTATTCATGGTTGGTGGTGGAAATTACATTGAATATCAAAATCTGGTTGATTATACGAAGGTAAGTTTAACAAGTCCAAGCTCCACTTGAAATAAAGAAGTTTAATGATATTTCATATTTAATAATAGGAGTTCCAACAGTGATAGGACATTTAATGGGAGGACACTCTGCTGATGGACACAAATAACAACATAAATGAAATAAATAGATGCTTTGTTCAGCATTGTTTTTTTACATTTTTGAGAATGCCACTCTAAAAGATAAGGTAAAGTTTGTAACTGTCCTCTTCCTTTTTTCTCCTCCTCCATCTACTCTACAGTTGGGCACCACATGATCTTATAACCACGTCAAAAATATCGGGAGTGGTGTGAGGATATAAACAGGAATAATGTTTAGGGTGCGAGCATGGGGATTCCACTCAGGGCTTAATGAGCCTTGCTCCGATGAGAGGTTCTTTCCAAAGAAGTTCCTGGACCACGCTCTACTATACTTCTTTTGGCTTGTTTTGGACTTCATCCATCGTCTGGTATGTAAAAGACAAAAGACCACGATGTTTCGGAGACTGGATCTGTCTCCATCTTCAGGTGGGTGGGGAAGGTCCAGTGATTGAGACTAGCTCTTTCTAACGGGCCCAACTAAGTAGGTTTATCCTTCCCCACCCACCTGAAGACCGAGACAGATCCAGTCTCTAAAACGTCGTCGTCTTTTGTCTTTTACATACCAGACGATGGATGAAGTCCAAAACAAGCCAAAAGAAGTACAGTATACACCGTCAGAATCCTTTCAAGTCCACACTCTGCCTGTATAATGATGAACTTAATTTGCTTTTTTGACAGCACTACACAATATTATACAATAGTCCTTTTAGGCAATATTTAGTTACTCTACTTCACAACTGTATGGTTGTCCACTGGCCATACACAACGATACTACTCAATCCATTGAATACCATGATTACAGTGATTACACTGAATGCTATTATTATTACTACGTGTACACACTCTGATCTTCACTATCCAAAATCAGCCTTTAAATACTCTCGAATGACATGATACATCCATAACCTTCCGCATCAAGATCTTTCTTGAAGCTTTTACACCATTCTACAGTTTGAGAATGTTCTGGAAGTTACTTTAATTGGGCTGGTCGGAGGAGTGACTGATACACGTACTATGCCCGCTATTATGGGATTGTCTCAAGTTGCAGTAGTCCTTATTCCTTGCTACCAGTTCTCAGAATAGTCACAGCAAAACTGAGTATAAGTCACCTTTAGTACAAAATTGGTATTAAGTTCTCAGTATTAATAAAAATTAAAATTTATATTATAGTTGGTAATATTATAAATGAAACCAGTAGGTAATGATCAGACAAGTGCTTAATTGACCCTCTGCTGCGATACTTGACTGGAGTCAAACAAGAATTCATTGCCTTATAGTGCGTGGTGTCTCTGTCTGTCTTTTTTTTTTTTTAATTTTACCTAATTCTTCCAGCCACAATATGGCCCTGGGGTCAACTCAGCTTCTAACAGAAATGAGTATCAGGAATATTCCTGGGGGTAAAGGGTGGAAGGTGTGTAAGGCTGACAACCTTACCACTATCTGTGAGCCAATTGTCTAGAAGATGTGGGAGCCTCAACCTCTCACACCCCTATGGGCCTTCACAGCCTGTTACAGGGACAGCTTTACATTTTTATAATGTTCCATGTTCAGAAAAATGAAAAATCCTACAAGTGTTCCTTACTTGGTGTAGGGACTTGAACAGTTTTTGTTTGATGCATGTTCTCTTTCTTATTTAGGGAAAAGCCGGTGGACCAACCAGTAAGAGAGTTATTTATGGTGCATCGACATTAAATAATGCAAAACAATTCCTTCAGCAAGTAAGTGTCATGTTTTATTTAGCTTATTTACGAATATTTCTGGTGAAGCTTAAGTTCTATACTTGGCTGTAATCTTCAAAGATGTCGCTCAGTATTAAATTAGTTATGGGCTATAGGAATTTTGGAATGATAGTTGTTCATCTTAGAGTGCTAATATACTCTTCATGCAGGGCTACCGAAAGAAATGAATCCCAGTTTCATTATGTTTTCAACGTTAAACCTGGGCACCAAACTTCCCCAGTCACTTTTTATTGTTACATTTCACTATCTCTTAGAGTCAGCAATAACAAATTATGTCAGCAGTGGCGAAAATATTATTGTATCTGAAGGTTATATAGCATTCTTAGTAAGCAGTTTATGATTATACTTATAAAGCAAGTGAAATGCATGGCAAATTTTCATATACTGTATACCTACAGTCTGTGGATGCTTGCATGGAAAGGTTTGAAATGTTGACTTTCTTCTCTCCTTTTGCAGCTCTCTCTGTTGGGGCAAGAACTTCAATGACTTGAGCATCAGCTATGTGTAAAGATAATGTATTCTAAGGGAACTGCATTAAAAGAAATGTGTACAGCCCAAGAAATGTAATGTTGTCAACTTGAGAGTCCTATCATAATATCACATGATGTTACTGCCTGAAATATAAGTAAGGTTTGTTGCTGTAGTGTCAGAGGCATGTGAACATTCCAAATGTAACATGGAAGAATACAGTACTTTGTTATTCATTACAGACATTAGTCATAGTAGGCATTAAACGCTAGTGACACAAACCGTGCTCACAATGAGATTCTTGTTAATATTTAATTCAAGAACTGCTGCATTTTGTCTATGTCCCAAAGTTGAAATAATTAAATAATGGTTACAGCAGTTGTTTTGCCAATATTTCCATTTACTTGTAAAACAGTCCAAGAAAAAACTTGACTTGAAAGTATTTTAACCTCATAGAGATAAAACAAAAAGAGAAAAATCATTGGCAAATTTCTCTTCTTATACTTTTGTTATGGTTAGAGTAGACTTGATTTATAGCTTGGAGAATACACATATAAATACATATATAGTTTGGCAGGGACAGTGAGAAGGCCAAGAAGAAGGTGTGAGGATAATGTTCACGTACTCCTTAGATAAATACATTTTGGTAGCACGAACTGAACTTTATAGTCTGGTAAGTACGAATGTTTCGGGTGAATGATGAGAAAAGCCAAATGTGTGTATTTGGGAAATTCCCATCTTTTTTTCTCTTACCTACGTAACAGCAAAAATTAAATCAACTGTTATCCTGTGTTTTCACATCTCTATTATTCTTACTGCAAAAATATATCAGATGTCTGGATGAAAGTTATCCAAAATAAATAATTTATATCTCAGAAAGTAACTGTCAGACACGTATCCAGTTTATGTCATTGGAAAGGAAAACCATATAAGTTTTTTTTCCTTGCCCAGCTTACACGTATGTGCTGCCACATTTCTGCCACCATGTTAGGAATTACTGGGAGATAGATCAGCAGAAGTTGAACAGCCTCTTGGCCTCCTAGGTCGCCAGATTTAACCCAACTGAATTTTTTCTTGTGGGGTTATGTAAAGAATATTGTCTACCAGGTTAAGATCAATGACCTGCAACACCCAAAAGCCCACATAAGTGACACTGTGGCTATTGTAACACAAAACATGCCTCAAGCAACGTGAAACGATGTCAAATATCATCTGGATATTTGTCATGCCATCATGGGACTCCACGTTGAAGTTCACTGAGAAAGTTATATACTCAGAAAAAACTTTTATAGCTTCCCTATGTAACGGTGTAACCCATAAATGTGTATAATAAAAGCTTTTTGAGATATAATTACTTTATTTTGGATACCTTTCATCTTGACATTATGTACTTCTGGCTAAAACCATCATAATGGCAAGGTATGAAAATACAGAACAGTTTTGATGCTGAACATCAAGTTTGTAGATGTGGGCAGTAAGGATCACTTTCTCTGTCCAGTATATTTGACTCAGATCATCATCATTAACCAGCTATTACACCCATTATTTTTGGATCTGGTAAAGGAGACAAGGAAAGTTCTTTAATTGGAGATACCTGGTCAAGCATTTCGTGGAGCAACAAATAACTAACTTTATGGAGCTGAGCCCTTGAGAAACCATGCCATCATGCAGCTATTCAAGAACTTTCAAGCAGCAGTGTCCATTGCATTTCGGTTAGGTGCTGTATTGATGTAAATGAACAATTAATACTTTAGAGGCACAGGTGAGAAACTTTCACCCCCTAGATATTGATAATAAACCCAGTTCCAAAAAGAAACTTTTGCAGTACAAGAGAGCAGGTTGGAAAATCATATATTGCTATTCCCGTGAATTATGGTTTCGCGGTGGTGGGAGAACAGTATGCAAAAGCCGCTGCTGTGACAGCACGTCTAATTTTATACAATTGCAACAGCTGTGGTGAAATCGAACAGTGGTGAACAGTAATGCTTTTGTGACGTCACGGCGGCCATGTTGCCCATGGGCTGATAAATGTCTGTGCAGAGTAATTTGAGGTTTAGTTCGCAGAGAGGTAGAGAAGTGTTGGAATAGGAAGATCTTAGTGTGGTTTCTCCTGTGGTGAAATACAGGGATTTCTTAAGGTAAAAATTATTACTGGTGTTGGTTTTCCGTATTTGTGCCTTTATTTCTATCTACAAGACGTTGAAAGCAAACTGTAAATATTAAGGTGAAGTAGCTATCCATATAATGAGTAGAATTGATGTTTTTAATATGGTTAATGTAGTTTTACCGAAGGGGAGTTGAAGCCATGTTGGAACATAATTTAAGTTCAATCAGTTTATTTGTTCCGAGAATTCATATTTGGAGATACAACCTCCGGATATAAAACAAGTCAATTACTACATATTAATATAACATACATGAGTCCACAATACTATGAAATTTAATTACCTAGAATCTCGGTTACAACGTTTCGTAACTGATAATACGCAGAGATGACGTCATTACTTTCACTGACGAAAGGAATGACTACCCAAACAAGAATGGAAAACGTGTATATACAGAACTACGAAGCACGTTCTTCAAGTTCATTAAGTATGTTTAAAAAATGGGAATAATAAGATGCATGTTAGTGAAATTCGGCCATTCAGGTACTAGCAAAATTTGTGGAAGCTTGGGATGCATACATCTCATAGAGAGTATGAAAACGAACTAAATTTAATATTCAAAAATATAAATGAATGGTTCAAGGCTAACTTACCGACATTGAATTGCGATAAACCGTATTTTATGCATTTCTCTACCAAGCATAGTAATACAATGGACATACCTATTATTTATAGTAACAGTCAAATTTGAGTTGATATAATTGTAACAGTCAAATTGCTACAACCACAGATAATAAGTTCTTGGGTCTGATGATTGATAATACCCTATCATGGAAAGGACACATTGACAGGCTTATGTCCAAACTGGGTTAAGTAGTATATGCAGGTTGGGCTATGCAGTGTCACTGGTTCTGTTGTTATGTGCGCGTATTTAGGGTGTTGCTTAGAATGGGTCTACATATCACAATACTAATGGGGCACATAAAAATAACGATAATGACACACTTATATTAATAGGGCTAAACGAAACACAAAAGAAAAAGGTAGCGCAAGAAAAGAATAAGAGTGATGTTCTCAAGTAAATGTATTTTACTGTGAACAGTGAAAATGGAAGAACATTGTAATATTTTATCTTAAGAACTAATGCACTGTAGCAATTTCAGAAAATGAACAGTTGCCTGAGGATGGCCAAGTAAGGCCAAAACATGTAGCAGTTTAATTGTAATTTTAATATTATTTCAAATTAAATAGAAATTGTAAATAAAGTAGCATTAAAGGCAGAAGTAAGTGTGTAAAGTGATAACATCAATGCAACAGGATGCTGAAATTCAGCATTATTAATTGCAATTGTTAATGTATCAATGAAAAGAATTCAGAACAGCTAGGAACATTCAGAATGCCAGTGTACACAGAATGCATGTGAAAAATGTGTACAGTCAACTCTCGATTATCCGGGCTAATGGTGGGGATGGAAGTCACGGTTAATCGAAAACCCGGTTAAGCCAAATTTTATTATACGGGCTGGACGACTGTGAAGGGTCGGAGTTCGAGTCCCGGTAGGGTCAAGAATTTTAACTTCTCCAAATCGTCCAGACCGGCTCTGGGGTCCATCCAACCTCCTATCCAATGGGTACCGGGGGCTCTTTCCCCGGGGGTAAAGCGGCCGGGGCGTGAAGCTGACCACTCACCTCCAACTAGTGCCGAGGTCAAGAAAATTTGGATCTATACATCCACTCCCCCACACGCCTTAATGGCGTAGGGCTTAATTCGTTGAGCAGAGGAACAACTTTACCTTTTACCTTTTAATACCTTCATAATACTATAGACCTACCTGTATTTAAATTTATTCATCCTCATTTCTATGTCATCTCATGGCCTATTTAATACTTTCTTTACATTACACTCAGTATGAATTAGTTATTTCAATCACTGTTCAACAACATCCAGCACTTTTTACGGTCACACTTAACACTTAAAATAATTTAATACTGTCTTTTGCTTTTTCGCGGCATTTTCCTTTTTACGGATATCCGTACGAAGCCTACGTAATATTAGCTTGTCACTTAATAAACTGTCCTCTTCACTCTCAAGATAGTCTAGTAAGGATTCCAAATGATTAAGCGCAGCACCATGTGATACTTTCTTACTGGCAACACTGTCCACCTCTTCCTCATTCTCACTTTCTTCCCGCTCTTCTGGCTGCACCCCCATTGAAGTTACGATTTCGTCACTGCTTAACATTTCGAAGCCCGGTTCACACGAGTCACAGTTAAACCACTCTCTTATATTTTCCTCGTTGACTTCTTCACCACCATGAACTTGGTTAGCCACTTTTGTCAATTTTATGGCTATCTCATTTTCACTGAATCCAGTGAATCCATGGATTTCGTCATCTTCATTAGTGATGAAAGGCATCAGTTTCTTCCATGAATTTTTCAATACAGATGGCTTTACTGTATCCCACGCTGTTGAAATCTCGTATATGGCATCTAATACTGAAAAGGACTTCCAGAAACACGTCAGATCATTGCCTTCATCGATGTACTTTTGTAGCAAATTTGATCTGTAGATTCTCTTCATACTTGAGATAACTCCTTGATCCATTGGTTGGATAAGTGCGGTAACATTAGCGGGAAAATATTTCACAAAAATATTTCCATCATCTGACCTCAGGAGACTTTCGTTAGGATGTGAGGGCGCATTGTCAATGAGGAGCACAGCTTTCTCAGGTAGGCCTTGGGATTTTAGATGGTCACGAACTTGAGGCACGAATTTAAAATCAAACCATTCTTTAAATATCGCTCTATTCATCCAAGCTACTTTCTGGTTAAAATAATGGATAGGCAGACTTGAAGCTACTGTTCCTTTAAAAGAGCGTGGTCTTTTCGCTTTGCCGATAACTACTGGTATTAGTTTGTGTGTTCCTGATGCATTAGAACAGCACAAGACTGTCAATCTCTCCTTACTGGATTTGTGACCTGGAGCCTGTCTTTCATTTTGAAATGCCAATGTTCTGGTTGGCAAGCATTTCCAATAAAGACCCGTTTCATCGGCATTATAGATTTGTTCTGGCAGCAGATTTTCACTTTTCACAAAACTATCAAAATTGGTGCAAAATTGATCTGATGCTGACAAGTCCCCTGACAATTTCTCACCTTGAATACTGATTTCTCGTATTCCATGACGCTGCTTGAAACGTGTTAGCCAACCGGAAGAAGCGTCAAAACTCCCTTCTAGTTCAAGTGCTTCGAAAAAATATTTAGCTTGTTTAGCACAAACTGGTCCTGTTATTGTTGTTCCCTGTGCCCTTAGTTGATTAAACCAGGTCAGCATCGCTTTGTCGAGATCATCGTATGTTGATTTCTTCATGGTTTTTCTCTTCTTCATTCCGCTTGAATTAGAAGACGAAGCAAAGGAAATTAACTCATTCTTTTGTTTTTTCAAATCACGAACAGTTTGTTCTCCAATACCGTATTGCATTGCTAATTGTTTAACTACAGCTCCTTTTTCCAGCTGATTGATAATTTCAAGTTTCTGTTGAATACTTAACACAACACGCTTCCTTTTAAACCCCGACATTTTGCTAACGCACTTGAAGATCTATATTAAGAAACTGATACTTACTTTCACAATGCACTCTCACACTGAGATGGTACCGTTAAATAACCTGGGGCGGTGTATTTGTCCTTGAAACTTTCCAAAAATTCTTGCATTCTTTCACCCCCACCCTAGAACATTGTGTTCGCATAACGGGACGAAATAATGCAGAGCTCGGTTCACACTAGTGCGAAAATAGTGTTAAACTCACCATGTGAAACAAAAGTGAATGAATATTAAACAACATATAAACTTAAAAAAAAAAGCCCCGGTTAAGCCGCAAACCGGTTAATCCGCCCCCGGATAATCGAGAGTTGACTGTACTTCCATACAGATTGCACTTATCCAATCTCATTATATTGTAAGCATATACGAGTATCTTATCATTGTCACATACCTTCACTTTTACATGATATATATATATATATATGAGTATTATGTATGTACAGAGATAGGTTTATTGTGTTTCTGGAAGCAAAGGACTTGCACATCATTTAATAGACGTGTGTTTTTAACTTTGCAGGTCAGAAATGCCGATAGAAGATCCTATTGTGCAGTGTCAGTATGATCCAAGCCATAGTGTTCTTAAATCTAGACTGCAGATGCATCTAGTTAAATGTAGCAGGAATCATCCATTGGCAAATAAGGCTATTTGCCCATTCAATGCTGTACATCATGTCGATAAACCAAATTACCAATATCATATCAATAACTGTCCAGACCGACGTGTCATAGAAGGATATAAATATGAACTTGAAGATTCTGAACATGGCGATTTGGCAGAAACTCCATACCATCAGCCTTCCATTCCCCCAGATGAAGACACCTGGGAAGCAGAAACCCCAGTCCCAATGTATAACCCCCAGCAATATGCGGAAGCAGCACCTGTTTTACGCAAGCAATCAGTAGCACCAAAGTAAGTGGACAACTTGAACCTAAGAAAATGTGTTATTTTATAAGAAGTCAAATAATTACATATAATCATGATGAAAAGCTGGAAGCACATACATCAGATGCATAAATAAACATAGAGCATTTATATAGAAAGAACAACCCCCATTTTCACATCTTGGTTGGTTAGAAAAGCAGACCTTTGAGAGGTTCATCCTAGCAGTATCAGCTTAGGCACATGCTAAATCATTTGTCATTGATGATGATTTCAGTTATGTTCCACCTCTGAAGTATAATACATAGAATATTTTTACTGTGTAGACCAGGTCCAGGGCTCTGTGCTTCATGGCGACCAGTACACTGCTTGCCATGAGGCGCATGCAAATTTTGCCAATGAATCAGTATGCCTGATAGCTGATAACATTTGGAATGAAGGGTGAGCAGTGTGGTTCATGCATGGGAGTTTGTCTATGATTTATCAGCAGTTATCAGCTCCATTAGCTGTTTGTTTTCAGTTAAATCAGTGAGCAGTGTCGTACATCATGGTGCAATATACTTTAGAGCAACATGTATTTCTGTGTGTCACCAATGTGAAATACCAATCTTCTAGAAAGTGTCCGTGAAAATTTTTACGTAAATTTTGTGATGAAAAGTTCCCAGCCAATAAGCAATTCATAATTTGCTTAATAAACTTAGAACAACAATACTCTTAATAGACAAGAAAAAAAGAACATAAGCATTGAGGTCTTACTGGGGAGAAGTTAGATAACATAGGGGCCAGACTTGAACATACACCTAGAAAACAACATAAACGTCTAGCTCAAGAGACTGGAGTGTAAAAGTCTAGTGCAAGAACGGCAACACAGTTGCTGAAGCCATCCAGTGAAAGTGGTTGTCTGGTGTGCCATAAGTGCAAGAAGGATTGTTGTACCTGTTTTTTAATGAAACAATTAATTGCGAAAAATATCTTGTGTGTAGAGAGGACAACATATACACCACCACCTGTGATCTGTGAATTGTAACTACTTCATTCCGAATGTTATCAGCCATCAGGCATGATGATTTGTCAGCAAAATTTGTATGCGCCTCATGGCAAGCATCGCACTGGTTGCTGTGAAGTGCAGAGCCATGGACCCAATCTACACAGTAAAACCATTCCCTGCAGTCTGCTTGTACCAGTTCTCACGGTCTCTTCGCTTGTGGATTTCTTATTTTCCTTCTTCCCTGAAGATGGAGGTGATACGTTCCTCTGAAACGTCGGTTAACACCACATCTACATGATGCCACATCCCAGAAGACTGCTTTCTTCATAGTCACCACCGTGAAAACCTCAAATCTTACAAAAGTTTTATTGTTGCAGCCAGTGTACTTGGTTGTTTGTTATATTTTATTACTCAGTTGTTGCTTTTCAGCCCTCTGTAGTTCATCAGAGGAGTCTGCCATTTATACACATAATCTTCTTCATTGGAGGTTGTCTTTGCTGATATACTCAGGTGTGTTTAGATTGAAGATTTTGATTTTTTTGTGTTTATATGTTGTGTACAGATCTGAGAAGAGAGCATTCAGCATGAGAGAAAGGCAGCGCATACAGAATTTAAAGGAAGGAATTACAGAGGATCATCCTTCTGCAGCTTCCAGCTCCCAATCTGGATCTTCAGTCACTGTAGATGGCATTGCACCATTGCGCTTGCCACGTGAGACTTCGCAAGCTCTGCGATTGCTGGATCCCAGCATGGGTCTAGGCCGTGGGATAATTCCTCACAGGACAGAGGAAGCCACACCTGGACACTCATCACTTGCAGAGCATTCTGGTCTGGGACTTGGACGAGGTGCATCTGTTAACGTTGAACTTCCCATGCCAATTGGGATTGGAAGAGGAAAGCCTCTGTAAATTAGTAGTCATGAAAGGCCGCGCCATAGCTCAAGCAGTTAGTTGCTGGCTTCCCACTGCGGCACACCGGGTTCAAACCCGGGTCTGGTCAAGTGGGATTTGTGGTGGACAAAGTGGCGCTGGGGTAGGTTTTCTCCGAGTACTTCGGTTTCCCCTGCCAATCTTCATTCCACCAATTCCATAATCACCCAGGGCAGGCACAATAGACTTGAAAGGATTCTGACAATGGTGTATGCTGTACAGAACTATTAGGCTTATTTATGTCTTCTATATACCAGACGATGGATAGAATCCAAAATATGCCTAATAGTTCTGTACAGGTACAATAGGCCAAATCAGTGGCCGCCGTGCCAAGTGGACCCAACTGGACTCCACCCCCNTCAGGCATGATGATTTGTCAGCAAAATTTGTATGCGCCTCATGGCAAGCATCGCACTGGTTGCTGTGAAGTGCAGAGCCATGGACCCAATCTACACAGTAAAACCATTCCCTGCAGTCTGCTTGTACCAGTTCTCACGGTCTCTTCGCTTGTGGATTTCTTATTTTCCTTCTTCCCTGAAGATGGAGGTGATACGTTCCTCTGAAACGTCGGTTAACACCACATCTACATGATGCCACATCCCAGAAGACTGCTTTCTTCATAGTCACCACCGTGAAAACCTCAAATCTTACAAAAGTTTTATTGTTGCAGCCAGTGTACTTGGTTGTTTGTTATATTTTATTACTCAGTTGTTGCTTTTCAGCCCTCTGTAGTTCATCAGAGGAGTCTGCCATTTATACACATAATCTTCTTCATTGGAGGTTGTCTTTGCTGATATACTCAGGTGTGTTTAGATTGAAGATTTTGATTTTTTTGTGTTTATATGTTGTGTACAGATCTGAGAAGAGAGCATTCAGCATGAGAGAAAGGCAGCGCATACAGAATTTAAAGGAAGGAATTACAGAGGATCATCCTTCTGCAGCTTCCAGCTCCCAATCTGGATCTTCAGTCACTGTAGATGGCATTGCACCATTGCGCTTGCCACGTGAGACTTCGCAAGCTCTGCGATTGCTGGATCCCAGCATGGGTCTAGGCCGTGGGATAATTCCTCACAGGACAGAGGAAGCCACACCTGGACACTCATCACTTGCAGAGCATTCTGGTCTGGGACTTGGACGAGGTGCATCTGTTAACGTTGAACTTCCCATGCCAATTGGGATTGGAAGAGGAAAGCCTCTGTAAATTAGTAGTCATGAAAGGCCGCGCCATAGCTCAAGCAGTTAGTTGCTGGCTTCCCACTGCGGCACACCGGGTTCAAACCCGGGTCTGGTCAAGTGGGATTTGTGGTGGACAAAGTGGCGCTGGGGTAGGTTTTCTCCGAGTACTTCGGTTTCCCCTGCCAATCTTCATTCCACCAATTCCATAATCACCCAGGGCAGGCACAATAGACTTGAAAGGATTCTGACAATGGTGTATGCTGTACAGAACTATTAGGCTTATTTATGTCTTCTATATACCAGACGATGGATAGAATCCAAAATATGCCTAATAGTTCTGTACAGGTACAATAGGCCAAATCAGTGGCCGCCGTGCCAAGTGGACCCAACTGGACTCCACCCCCGACTATGTGAATTAAAAAAAAAGTCACGAACTCTCTCTTACGTTATGTACAGAGTATTCTAAAAAGGCAAATTGCTATCGGGTGCATCATGTTTGTGGTTAGTACACTGTAGTGACAACTTGGGGGGGGGGTTATTGGTATGATGTGGTAATTCAAGAAGTGTTACATGGCAATTATAAGAAGAAATTATTACTAATTGTGTTTCATGTACCCAAAAATAACGAAGGCCTTCACAGCGATACAGGTCATTCGGAATATTTTTAAGAATTCACATAAAATTGTTTTATTTTGCAGTGAATCTGAATCTCCCTTGGAACTTTATGATTGAAATGCGTGTGTAATTAGTGCATTGTTTAATGATATTTTATATTGTGACCCCATTTAGGTCTGGAGATTTCATGAGTGTTACGTTAATTAAGATCTAAAAGTTTGTGGCAGTGGTACATTAATACAAATATTATGTTTTTGGACATTATCCATTGTCCTGTCTTTAGCTATACGGTTCTGGTTATATTTCAAAACACAACGTTTCAGAGACTGCAGTCTGTCTCTGTCTTCAGGTCAAACATACTCAGTTGAGCCAAATCAACAGAGCTACTCCCTATCTCTGGAGCTCTCTGCTAGCTCTCTCGATTGGGCCTAGCTGGGTTTCAGGACTTTTTCCATCGTTCAGAATTCTGGGTAATAGAGGACATGACATTTTGGAAACTGGATCTATTTCTGGATCTGATATTACATGTCTTCAAAATTTTTCCCGTTTCTTCGCATTGGTGCTCATGCACTTGGTTTTGTCAACTAGGTTTCTAACACAAATTTCTAGTTCCTTCTCTATTCTAGTTCCACACATCTGCGTGTATGGTGTGTTAGCTCCCACTGAACTAGCCTAGTCTTATATGTTGAAATAGCTGGGTAAATCTGACAGGAGTTGTCCAATGATTGAGATTAGCTCTTTCTAAGAGGCCCAACTGAGTAGGATGCAAATGGGTATTTACAGTCAAAACTATCAATGGAAGGATTGTTAGATATAAAGCTAGATTAGTGGCTCGGGGTTTCAAGTAGATTCATGGGGTGGACTACACAGAGACATTTAGTCCAGTAGTTCACAAGAAAATGATCAGGACACTTCTAGTTTTCTTCATTGCCTCTAAGTGTAGATGTCCAAGTCTACTGCACCACGTTGCCAATGAAACCAACGGTGCTTTCTTCTTCCTGTCATATGCCTCCTTGATGTCGTCCACGGTGGTGCTACCCAGCGTTATATAATACAGCCTTGACACTCTGTGAGCTTGGAATATCATCTCATTACTAGGGACCAGATTTTTATGCCCTAATAACCCTTTAAATATGTATGCATTTATGCATGAAAACTTCCGAAATATGCACTAAAATATGCATATAAAATTTGTACCAAATATTAAAATTGATTTTACATTATTTTAAGATCAACAAATCAATATTTAAGTTCATTTTATGCAATCACTGAATGTTTCACTTGCAATAAAATGCTATACTTAAATACAAATCATGCAACAAAACCAACATATTTCATTACAAATTTAAAAAGACCAATGGTACTCGCATTTAGCTCTCCGAACATTCAACTTCTCTTCTGTGGCAGTTCACAATTACTAAATGTTTTAGATATTTCATAGTTAGTAGAGTCCTGTTGTCTTGTAAGATGTCTTTATAGTGGGTTAAAACTTCTTTCCACCTCACAGGAACTTAGGGGCACGTGTACAAAAGCCGCTATTTGCTCCACTGTTAGTCATTTTTTACTTGGCAGTTCAGTACGTTTACTGGCTAAAATTGTACACACACGACCATGAGTGAAAATTTGAACATAAAATTAAAAAATATATATTATAAACATTTTAAAAATGAAATATGCAGTATAAATAGAAATCTTCGAAAATATGATGCTTATTCATAAAACGGGCAAAATATGCATTTATATGCACCATCAAACCATGTCCAAAATTTAAGAAATGAAGTAATTCATACATATATCCAAATGAGCATACTTTCTGGTTGTAAGAAAGAAATATGCATTTGCATTAAAATCCGGTCACTACTCATTACACATGATTTTCGATGTACCTTCCTGCGTCACAATCTTAAGTCCCTTTTCTTCAATCTGGCCTTGAGAAATTAGATTATCTTGTAGCTCTGGGACATAAAACACATCTTTTTAACTCGATATCATTTCCTCTGCATTCTTGGGACATTTCGAGCGCTATCCTTCCCTTTCCTGCAATTTTTAAAGGGGCTTCATCACCTACTACTACCTCTCCATTTATGCTTGCAAAGTTGTGCATGGGATCCTTCCTGTTTGTCATATGATCAGATGCTCCACTTTCGAGCAGCCATACACTCCCATTGTTTGTTATATTCTTCTTAGTACATAGTGGTATATGCTCCCTAGTTACTACAGATGCACTGGCCCTCTCCTTCTCACCTTTGGTTTCCACGTCTTTACTCGTCCTTTCACAGTTTTTCTCCTCTCTGTTACGGCTCCTTCCAACTGCCTGGGACAATTGTATGAGCCCACATGCATAGCACCAAAACCGCTACTTGGTACGCTCATACTGCTTACCTCCTCGGGGTCTGAATTTCCCTTTGTCCTGATAGCTGTATTGACTTTGGCAGTTCTCTTCTGCATCTTTCGTCTCTTTGAGTAATTTCTCTTCACTTTAAGCTTCTCTGGTCTCATTGCAGTGTTGTATGTCGTTGATCAGTTCGTCACTTACAGTTCTAATGATGTAAGATTTTCTTTGGCTCTCTTTCTTATCTCTGTTTGTGATAATTACGCTTCTCTTGTGTCTTCATATCCAGCGATTGCCTCCCAACATTCACATAATAAAAGTTCTGACTTCACATGTGCCATCCACCCATTATAATTGTGTCGTGTTAGTTTTGGTATCGTAAAAGTTTTCTCCTCTTGGTTACTCGCACCGCAGTATATACTTCGTTCCGCTATCTTGACTGGATCTCTTCAACAGATTCCTCCCTCTCGCGCCTAACAATTTTCCACCAAAAAAAAAAAGAACTCCCACATGAGTTGCTGAACAAGCTCGACCATTTCACACAACACACTTCAGGACATAATATTTGCTGCCTGGGCCCGTAACCTGTTAATTTATTATGATGTAAAACTTTGTTTTTTGTATTTGTATGAAGAGGTATCAGGTAAACAAACTAGGATGCTACATGGCTGCTATGTGACTGTTTATTTCACTACAGTATGCCGACTCACAGAGCGAAGCACTACTTACTCCCAATCAGTCATACCAACATAACACAATTTGAATCTAAATTTCATCCTTTTAACACTTTTGCAGTGGTGCATGTGCCGTGTTGACCATCACAGTATTTCAGCGTTAAGTGGCCTTTTATTTTGAACCAGCCTGTTACACAGGAATTATGTCCACTGCAGTTATACTTCCAGGCTTTGAGTTATTAATCAACCTGAGGGTCACTGCTAGTTTG